CTGACGTTCAGTCTCTGGCTCCTGTCCACCTGCACCTGCTTCTTGCTCCGCGGCGCAGCATCAACAGAGTCCACGCTCTGCGTGCTGTGCCTGGAGGCGGGCGGAGGCAGGAAATGGTTGTAAGTCACTGCAGCGCTGCTTTGTTTATGGAAAACTCCCGTCCTCCTCGCCATCATATCGTCTTTCTGAAGATCAGGGATCCTCTCCTGTTCGTCCTCCTCGTCCTCCTCCTCCTCTGTTCTGCCTTCGTACTGAGCCAGACGGGCATCCAGCTCAGCGTTAGAGGTGACAAACTCTGGGCTCCACGGTCGGTGCTCAGCCGGAGGAGACACACTTTGATGGTGGTCGGCTCCGTCGACATAACTGTGAGAGCATCACATCGTGTTCAAACAGCACGACAGAGGAACGTCTAAAACTCCAAAATGCTTCGGCACAATCATGCAGATGAGCAGGCTGGGAAAAGTCGGTTACAAGAAAAGTGAATTTGAACTTTAGTGACCCAGTATTTGGGAAACTCCTATGTTAACAGCAGATCTGCTGCAAGTAGCTCCTCCAGGTATCAAACCCCAGCCCCTCTGCTTCTGAGGCAGGCGTACTAACCACTACACTATGGAAGGGTCTTCCAATGCCTTCACTCGTTTCTTTAAAGGAACAGTGGACACCATGCAAATGTGTTTAGTTTCAGAAAACAAAGCGTGCCGTCAGTAATCACAGCAGAAATGTCAACGATATCGATTCTGAGCGACACAGAACCTCCTGACAGGGAGGTTCTGCTGCTCCTCCTCTTCCTAAATGTGTGAGAGTCTATAGTGTTTTCTATACATTGAGGTTTCTACCTAAGAACTCACAAAGTTTCCTAAGAAGTATCTGGTCTTAGAATCGTGTGTGTGTGTCCATTTCTTTTACTACTATTACTAACGTAGAGGAATAGCAGCACAGAACTCCAAAAAGTGCATCCAAGCCTCCTGCTCTACTCATTCAAATGTGCTCAAGCCATCCAACTGGACTGGAATGCCACTGAAGAACGACTGGCACTTCCTTCAGTGGAGTCCACTGTGATGCACGCGTCATTGGTTTTCCAGCCACTCCAGTCTACACTTGGCCTGGTCCGTACCTGCGTTCCCGCTCAGAAAGCTGGGAGCCCAGGCCAATGGTAGGCATGGCTACGGTTGCCTTGGAAAGGAGTCGTCTTAGCAACTCCCTGGGCTCCCCTTCACAGGATGGGACCGTGTCTACTGGCTGCCCCATCTCAGTCACGCCCCCAAAGGTCACTACTTTGCTGTGACCTCGTCCTGCCTTTGCTGTTCCGCTGAAAGGACTCCCATAAGTTTTCTCCAAACAAGCCTGACACACGGGTGCCGGGTTAGCCTCACTGTAGATGGAACAACCTCACAGATGAACAAGCGCACAACGACAACAACGACAACAACAACGGCACTGTGATACGACAGTAACAACAACAACAACAACAGCCAGGGAAAGAACAAGGGGGAGAAGATATTCATGAACAACAAAGAGTCAGACAAAGGAAGGATGAGGTGGAAATGATGTCACAGGTCAGAGAGGAAGTGGAAATGGATGAGCACAACAGGCTAGAAGTCCCGGTGTGTGTGTGTGTGTGTGTGACGCTACACTTAATCCCAACACATGCAAATTCACACACACATGGCCGTCTCTTTAGCCGCTCTATAGGTAGCCACATATTCCTGTCGACGGCTGATCCTCTGGGAAAAACAAAAAACTCTTTCTCCTGTCTAATGACATCAGCGCACAGAGAGAGACAGAAACAAAGGCTGAGGCAGCGCAACAGTGCCAACAGTGGCCTCTTTTCTTGTTTGTCCTCTCTCTCTCCCTCTCTCTCCCTCTCTAAAACACACACACACACACACTCTAACACACCACAGCCAGTTCCCTATTTCCCATTCTTTGCCCATCAAAGAAGACTGAAGAGGAGTGAAGTCAGAACAGTAATGAGGAGAATGAAGAAGCACATGAAGAGACCATGAGACTGGACCACACCAGGGCTGTTAAAGGAATGTCTGTGTGTGTATCTTTGGATACATCTGACCTAGTCTTATGTCACAAAAAGAAAAAAAAACACAATTTTATATAAATGTAAAATCTTGTTAACTTATCTGGCTTGTTTTTGTGAAGTTTCTTATGCAGGAAGACTGAAAAAACTGTGGAGAAAAACTGACATCCTAACTGAAGAGACAGACCAGCTCCAGTATTTGACCAGCGGTCAGTGATTTTTACCAGTGGTCATCTGGTGGAACCTTGTCATAATCCTCATGTATGTTCTTAGTTCTGTCTGCTTCAACGCTTTCCAGTTCATCACATATTTTCTTTGAATCTCTACCTAAATAAAATAAAGACGGCCCTCGATAGCAGCGAGTAAACAAATAAAAATACTAATTCTTACTGAATATTTGTAGAAAACTGTATCAGGATTTAGTGAGATGTATGAGATACAAACTGAGGTACAGGTTTACTTCACTACATCTCAGCAAACATTTGGTTTTTTACTCTCTGTCGTGATCGACTCCAAACAGGAGCGAATGCTGCTGACTCACACCTACGCAGCACATTTTTTCTTGTCATCTTTCACACACACTCACACACACACACACACATTCACAGCCACAACAAACTGCACATTTGACACACAGCAGCATGTACTGTGTGTCCTCTGTACTGCACGTGTGTGTGTGTGTGTGTGGCACCTGGGGTCAGTCATCTTCAGCCTCTCCCACTTCTTCACGTCGGCCTGGCTCATAGAGGCCGAAACAAAACTCAAGGGTCCGTCCCGTTGAGGGAAGGTCCTACTCTGAGCCCGTCTCCGAGCCAGGTCGTCCTTCTGCTTGTTAGGCACGACCTGAACCTCTCTCTCCTGCTCCCCCTCCTCTTCCTCCTCCTCACCCTGCTCTCCACAAGGAGCGGAGTTCAGGAACGGGTTGTGTCTGCGCGTTATGATGTCGGGAGGCGCTTCCTTCTCACTGTCCAATCAGAGGGCCGGTACGGCGGCAATGCACACGTCAGAGTGAAGCACACACATTAGACCACAGGTGAGCAGTGACAGCGACAGTGGGAGAGTGAAAAAAGTGTGATTAGACGTGAGTTAGAGAACAGAAGTAGAGAAGCACACACAGGCTCTGAGCCGACCTGCTCTCCTTCTCCTGGAGAGTCTGCTGAGAGGCCCGGCGAATGCCCTCCCAGCGCTCTCTGTCTCTGTCGCTGCACACGGGCGCCGGCACAAACTGGTGCACCTTGGGAGCCACAGAGCCCTGATGAGTCCGTCTGGAAGCCAGGTCGTCCTTCTGAACATCTGGAACTTTCCGTTCCGCTGCCTCCTCCTCGGCGTCGGAGGAGGAGTCCCAGGCGTTTTTCTGAGAGTTTAAAAACGAGTTATCTCTGCGAAGGATGATGCTTGGCGACGGGGACCTGTTCCTAACTTCCTGTTCCTCCACTTTGGGTCGGCTGGAGTTGGAGACAGCAGTACGGTCAATTCAGAGATGAGTGGAAGTCCAATTTGTCCAACAGTGAGCAGAGACAACGTGCAGCATTCAGACTTTGCGTGTTATCAGATCCTGTTCATTAGTCGAACTTCAAACGATGCTTCAGTGAAGAATGATGTCACACATTCCGACAAACGCACTCACTCGAGCAGGAAGCAAACCTTATGAACTAAAGTCTCTTCTGCTGTGAGAAAATGACATAAATCAAATGTCTCTCTCTCTCTCTCTCTCTCACCAAAACCCACAACAAGCAAGCAAGCAATTAGTCGCTTTACAAATCAGTCTCCAGCTTCACACCGCAACCCAACGACCACCATCACAGCGTTTCATTAGTGAACAGGACGGTAACCACATGAGCCAACCACAACCAGGACACAGGTCACATGACCGCCTCGTCTGACCTGCTGTAGCGAACGGCAGCAGGCAGCACTTTGATTCCTGCCTTCTCCAACTTCTGCAGCCTCCTCTGCTCTAACACCTCCTGCGACACTCTCTCCTCCTCCTCCTCCTCCTTTGGTTTTTCCTCATTTTTGTCAAAGGCCCAAGTGACAGTCTTCAGAGTTTTGTTGTGTGATTCGTTTTTTTTCTCCTGTTTGACGCAGTCTTGGCCCAGACTGAGGGACATTGTGTAAGTGCAGTGACAGATTAGGGACGCCGACCTTTATTTTCTTTAGCGTTTCCTTTAACCCATTAATCACATGAACATGCCCCCACTGATGCGTTACCTTCTCTGCTCGCCCTCCTCTGTTTGGGGTTTCCGACGTGGAGCTGGCATGTAGCCGCTAGCGTTGGTACGATTGGGAAGGAACTGGTTGAACGGAACTGAGCTCCTGGACTCGACGCTGACCGTCCGCCTGGCTGACATGTCATCTTTACGTACATCAGGCTTCCTGTGGGGGGCATCAACCTCTGAGTCGCTGCCTCGCCCTGAGAAAGAGCAAAAATGTAAGGCTAAAAATATTTCAGGTGTTTTTGTATTTAGTGGCAGAAAATAAAAAATAAATGAACTGGGATGAGAAACCTAAAACCTATTCTCTGACTGTTGGCCTGGTGAACAGAGGTTGTGTTACCAGGTGATGGATTTCTAACTGGTCCTGAATGGTTTGTAACATCACTGTGCAGAGAGACACACACAGCAGTGAGACTCTGTCCTCTGACCATCTTTCCTGTTCAATATCCTTGTTGTGACCTTCGGGAAATAAAGGGAATTAGTCTCTTCCTGAAATAGTATTTTTCTTGTCACCCTGCTGCACTCACTGAGTCAAAACTAAAACACAAACAGGATGCCTGTGTCTCTCCAACACACACAGCTGTTGTCCTGAGCCCTGTCCTTAACTCCACGGTGATACTGAACAGAAGCAGGACTATTTTTGGTGAAGAGGATTAGTGTTTCTCTTCAAAAGGATGCTTAAAAACTGTTTCATCGCTCTCCTTTGACATTTGTGTTTCATCACATCGATCCAAACACCGACGGTGATGATCGGTGATGGCTTCGTATGTAAAGCAAGGGAAATAGTTTTATAAAAACCAACCGTCACTGTTGCCCCGACAAACCACATCAGGAGACGGACTGTGCTGTGAGCGGGAGCCGAAAGAATCCAGACTGTTCGAAACAGGAAGACGTGATGAAAATGTTAGTTTTGAGCACATTTAAATACCTGTGTTTTTCTGCGAGACCTTTTTGTGGTGGTTTTTCTGTACGAGCGTGTGTTGACAGATGTCTCCCACCTGTCCAAGGAGTTGTCCCGAGTGTGTTGAGGTGGAGAAAGAGACTCACTTCTCTCAGAGTCCCAGCAGTCGTAGCCACTGTCTCTGACGCTGCGCTTCTGAGGACTCTCACCTCCCTCGTCACTCTCCTACGGACGAGAGCGTCCAAATGTGAATGTGATTGAAAAGTCATTCAAATGCTGTCGTTTTTTAACATTTTTACCAACTAGTGATCAAGAAGTCAACAACACTACTACCTAGAAACCAAGGAAACAATATCAATATTCAACCCTAAAAACCGAAGGTCTGCACGGACATAGAACATATAAATATGTAAAAAAAAAAACTAAAACTAATTTATAAAAATATGTAATATATATATTTATATACCAGATTTGACAAAACTAAATGCTCCTTTATTAGGAGATATATGGCTTGTCTTTTCTATTGAGTATATAAAGATCGCCTGCTCTATAAGCAATACTTTATTCAGATAGATTTTTTTGCTGTCTGGTTGTTGTTTGTCCCTAATGATATTTAATAGTAAGATGTTATGGTACCAGGGTTAACATAAGGTCAGGGGAGATTTACTGCCGCGGGGTCTTGGGAATGGGAAAAATCTCCTGACCCCAGGCAGGAATGACTTCCTGTGGCTCTGTGTGCTGCAGAGAGGGACATCAATCAATCTTTAGCCGACTAATAAGTCGGTGTAGGTTTTGTCTTCTTTGTCTCGTGCCTTTAAGCAATGACATGAAACATAAAATCCACCCCGCAGCCTCTCTCTGCTCTGTCATTAGTTATTCTGAGTCTCCCATCCTCTGTGCTGCGTCACTCACTATCTTCATTTGAGACAGAAGTCCTTCAAACTCCTTCAGGTTGAGAGTCGGACCAGAGAAGGAGGCACAGCAGCTGGCAGCCTTCCCCAGCCAGAACACCGTGTTCAGCACCTGAGAGACGAGATGCTGGGCTTAGTCAATGTGACCACAAGTGAACGAGACTAAAAAAACGCCCTCAGACAATACTCACGTTCTTTAGTGGCCTTCAAGAGAAAGAGACTAAAAAACTCCCTCAGACAATACTCACGTTCTTTAGTTTGCGGTTACAGTCGGAGTCCCTGGTGAGAGACAGGTGTGTTACAGTCAAGTGATTATTGGTCAAACAATCAACACATGAACTAACAGTTCTACTATTTACTTCAGATTAGCTCGTATAGACGTGTCCTGTAAGTCCCCGGGGTCAAACAGTTGGGAGCCCTTCAGGCCCAGCTCCTCACAGCCCCGCAGGAAGACTGACAGGTTGTCCTGGAAACAGCAGGGGACCAGAGACAGACCGTTTATCACATTGACCAACTAGGGGCTTTTTAGCTGAGTGTCATTCTGGAGAGTGTCTTCTTACCAGACCAGCGATGGGGGTGGGCAGTCTGTTGATCTTCTTGACCAGGCCTGGTTTGATTGCACTCAGCAGCCTGGGTTGGAGGAGGGGGAGAAGCAGAGATTTACTCATGAGTCCCCTGGGATTTCTCTGTATATTACCCCATCTTCAGACATCAAAAAAAAGAAATGTCATGATGTCAAGGGCTTACTCGCATAACAGGATGCCGTTCTCCAGCGCGCTGCGGAAGTCCTTTTCTCCAAAGCTCTTCCCTGTTACCGCCTTAGGACGAGGGACAGGAAGAGACAGATGTTAAGGAAGTGGACTGGGACAGACGGCCTGTTTTTAGTGTAAATAATTAACAGCTATTTTAATTATTAATTTTGATTTTATATTTTAGGTATATACAATATTTATTACTATATTAATAATTTAAAAAGAACAATCAAAACAGATTAATTTTGCTGCTCAGGTTTTTTTCTCCATGTGCTGCAACTCACAGTAAATCTTAGTTCTGATGTGACTTAAAATTATTTATAACCAGTCTGTGTTTTTTAAACCATTTAAAGCAAAGTTACTTTAAATTTGACAGAATGGAAACAAAGATATTAAAATAAATTTTGTCCTCAGCAGAACTTGGTTTTACAGGACTTTAAACAGAATGGGAACAAAGATATTAAATTTGTCCTCAGCAGAACTTGGTTTTACACAAGACTGGAATCAAAAGAAAAATAAATGCTGAGTGGTGCACACTGTACTTTTCTGCCCTATTATTGGATTATACACTTGAAAAATATGCTGCATATGAGGGCGAGAGAAGAGAGAGAGAGTGTGAGGGACAGTGAGAATTTTTAAACCAAATATGTTTAATACCAAAAAATCTTGGTAAAACTACAGGAAGGAATGCAGACTCTACAGGATGAGACTCATAAATAAAATCCCTGGTGTCAGTGATTGTACATAAATGTATGTTTAACTCTGCGTCTTGGCCCTTTAACTGACATCCTGGCCAGGATTCTCCCCATCTCACACTTAGTGCCAGCTGGGACCGACTCCAGTTTCACCCCATGCACTCAAAGGATAAATAACCATGATTGAATATCAAGTAAATACCAATCTCTAGTGTAGGGTTATAACTATCAATCATTCAATAGTCTACCAGTCAGATGGATTATAATTGTATCAGTGGAAGTTGTTATTAGCCCCATAAATACAGAACATCGGTCTGTTTACCTTCATAGAGAAAAAATAATAATATTAAAAAATAAGAAAGAATAATATTAAAATTAGTAAATAAATCTCACAAATCTCAAAAGACACAAAAGAGTATTACAATACTTCATCACTGATCAATGCAAACCTGCTTTGGACAAACACAGTATACTCATTCCCTGTCATTGTACGTCACGGTGGTCTTCCCTGGTACTGAACTCTTTCACCTCTGTCACCTTGACATTCTTGAGTAAAAACTAAATAACTTATTACCTTGAGTTCTTAGTTTGTTTCCCCTGAAAGTGTTGACTAAACCTAATCCTCACCCTCACCCTCACCCCAACCCTCACCCTTGAAGATCCATGATGCAGTTGTAACCTTAATCCTCTCCCAGCAGGGGGTCAGGAAGCTTGACATGAGCTGGAGACATGCTTCATGTCACTCCCTCCCCCTCACTCTTACTACTTTCTGGATTTGCCGTGCAACCGACAACCATTTCCGAATGACAAGAAGGAGAGGTTTGACTGACACAATAATCCAGATTAAAATAGCACAGATTACTGCCACCCTCCAAACTGTTGATGACACGTTCTGGTCACATCCATCCATCCATCCATCCATCTCTCTCTGACAGGAGTAATCCTGTGACTAACTGTCTCTGGTGCCGTTGATTCTCACGGACTACGCTGCGTTGCTGTCGACCACCTTCTACTTCAGGTGGATATAAACACAATCACAGATACACAAACACAAACGCACACTGCACAGCAGCAGCTGTGAAAACAGTCTATTGTATTTGGGTTCAAAAGTGATAACCAGATGTTTCCCGTTGGCTTTACCTCCTTTTCGTGTCCATCATTCTGCCATTTCTCTGCCTGGCTAACCAAAACACAGACAAAGACAGCGACAGACGGGGGGAGGGAGGGAGGAAGAGGAGGAGAAAGATGTCGTGTTTGTTAAGGTTTGACTTCAAGCCTTTAAAATATTTACACCTTCAACATGCATAATTTACCCTGTAAGGTCAGATCAGTATTAAAGAAAGAAGTTTGTTTGTTTTGCTGCGTCAGCAGCATGTGAGACGGGAGGACAGACGGGTGAGTCGGTGCTAAAACCAAAATTACAGACAGACTGTTGCTTTGTCGGTGCTACAACCAAAATTACAGACAGACTGTTGCTTTTTAGCTCCATACAAAATTAGAGAAGACTTTCACAACATTTTTTTTGTGTGTTAGGAAAGACTGGCTCTGACTGTGTGTGCTTGTGTAAAAAAATGAGCAGTCGTGTCTGCCATGAAAATCAAACCGTAGACCTCTGGAGCCTGCCACAGCCTCCAGTGGAAATCTGACCCCGGCTTGCTCCCTCTCACTCAGCGGTGGACGGCTCTGCTCAGTCTGGATGAATGGCAGCAGCAGCTACAATTTAAATCCTGTTGTGTGTATACGTGTGAAGCACAGAGGAGACGGAGCGGTAGGCCAAAGTGCCCTTTACCTCTGCCAAAAAAGACGGAAAGACTGAGAGGGAAGGGAAACAAACACATGAGGGTAGAGAAATGTCCTCATGGCATTGTTAAAAAAAATCACTGATGCCCTGGAACAACTGTCAAAACTGATTTATTTGCAGCCGTTTTTCTAGATGTGGTCATTGTTATAATTGATTGGCGCCAGGGGCATTGAGAGTGCATCTCTGTGATTGGTTCCTTTTCTTCAGTACTTTATTAATCCCCAATGGGAAATTACACTCTACATTTAACCCACCCACTCCTTCACCACCAGCACTGTGGAGCAGTGGGCTGTACTTTTTCAGTGTGTCTCAGAGGGCAGACTTTATTGTTGCTTGCTCAACACACCACAGTCCTGCATGGGCTCAGTCTTGAACCAGCATTCTGCCGATTGCAACAGCAATCCTCCGAACACTTGGCAAATAAAAGGCGTTCTTTTAAAAACGAGAGAATTATGCTTCTCTTAGGGTTTTATTTTGATCTTCTATCATTTCTAAAGCTAGAACCTCAGCTGAGATTTCTTTTTCCTCTTCTTTGCTCCACGTTGGTGCCTCCTCTGTTAATCTCTCCTTGGTTTTAATCAGGAACTTCTCAGAAATGGTTCTTCTTGAAGATGACGTCTTTTCTTTTTTCAGTGTGTTTGGTTGGTGTCAAGGTTGCTGTGGATACAGCTATCCTGAATCTCCAAAGCTGCTGTGTACTCAGAAACAGGATCCACCTCCAGTTTGGGAAATTTGTCTGACAACGAGATTAGACACTGCCGTCATTATCAATCTACTCTAGCTTCTATTCTAGTGGGGAGTGTTCTATTTAACCAAATATTTCAACACAAGGTTTTCAACACAACACATAACAGTAATTCATGTCCCTTTTTAAGCTATTATGTCATCAAGCACACTACTGTCCAGAAGCTAGACAACCAAATGAGGACAAGACAAAAAGTATGAGATTTATGTGACGAGATAAAGACATAATCCAGATGCGTCACAGATGTGAGGGTCAGATTAATCTGCTCTGAACAATTAACCAGAGTAGACAGAGAGGAAAAGACAGAGAGCTGATAACTGCCAGGAACAAGAGAACAGTGTTATTGGACCAAACAGAGCTATTTAAGTTTGATGAATAACAATATCAAGAGGTAGACGTACCAAACAGTACAGTCGCACTCAGCACAAACTTCACAGAGTTCCAGAGTAATTCCCAAAATATTTTTAAGTACTCCCTAGAAATGGAGCTAGGTTGAGCACTCATGTAAATAGATATTTCATCATAGCAGGAGCAAAATCTTGCAATAGTTGCAGACTCGTAAGATGGAATACTTGTATTTGGGGGAGTCTACTGTATGTTCTACGACATAACTTTCAGTGTTGAATCTCTAGCAGGAGAGATTCAATGTCTGATGTCTGACTGAGAAAGATAGCAGGATTCTCCCTTGTTCATGTCTGATGTCTGACTGAGAAATATAACATTAACAGTAGGATTCATAAGTCGCCCCGTATCTACTTCAAACTGAATTTTTGAATCATTGAATGTGACCTTTGTCAAACTGAATTTTTGATCATTGAATGTGACCTTTGTTCCCGACGTTCCAACAGCAGTCCAAACGTCAGATGATGACAGCCCTAGCATGCTAACAAAAACACACACTTTCGCTCCGGCTGACACAGCTGGCTGTCTGAGAACACTGGAGTTAATCTGCTCAGAGCAACTGTGACATCAGGCATGTAGCACATAAGGACACACACACACACACACATGTTCAGTCACATGTGATTCCTAGTTCATTCGACCCTTAGCCTCGCCATGTGCACAGTGTTGGTGACAGAAGAGGTCGACTGACGCTAAAGTTAACTTTGTTGTCCAATGTCACAGCGAGCAGCTTCTAGACACCTCGCAAAGTGTGCGTCAAATCTGGGACACTTAAGTCCATCTGTCTCAACTATAAACAGATTTATAAAAATCCTATCTGTGCCAGCATCACTTCCCGTCCAGCTCATGTGGATGACGGTTTGAAACTACTGTTCTACTGACCCCCTGGAAACAGTGATACCTGAGATCCTGCCAATGTTGTGTTCCCATAGTGACCACCGTCACCCAACTGGGGTGTGTCTGCAGAGAGCATACGCTTTGCATACTCCTACTCATTACAAACACACACACACACACAGAGATAACTTGCTGCTGGGGGCAGAGGGTGCCATGGTTAACCCTGAATCATGCCCACCTGTGAGGGCATATAAATACACCACTGGAAATAGAGTCGGCATGACCGGCCCTAAAATAACTGCAGGATGAGGAGGCAGGCAGATGAAAACTCACAACGACACAGCACCAAACCACAGGAGAGATTACAGTAGGATAAATATACTCAACCATGTACCACTCTCTACTGTAATGGTGATATACTGACGCTGAACTGCCTGTAAGAAAGTGTGGACGTACCTGGACTACGGAGGCAACGAAAGACTGGGGCAAAATATTAAATAATTCATGTGTGGAGGGAAGGCCTGTCAACATTTTATTAAGAAATATTTATTTAAGTGCAAGTTTTGAGACTGCGAAAATGCAATAAACCAAATATAAAATTTGAATCATTTTATTGGACATTGCTACATTGTCCTCTGTCCCTTGTTGCTGTAACAAAAGAATTTCCCCACCTCTACGGTAGGGCAAATAAATGTCATTCACCAACTCTGTGAAGCTAAATTTCAGTATATTTTTTGCAAATTATTCTTAAAGGTTTCCTTTATTAATTCATCCATCATTTGGACCAGTACTTATCTAGATTAATCATGATTAATCGTGACTAATTATGTTCATGACGAATTATAATTGATCATGAATAATCCGTACATTCCTGTTGAATCATATTTTTATGTTTTATTGAATCACGTCTTTCACTCATGTTCAACTGTACTTAAGTTTATCATTAATGGACACTAGCTTCATGGTTTGGGAGGATAACTGACAAAGGATTTTCAGCCAAACAGAACTCATGTAATGTAAACTGCGAGCTTGTTTGTCTAATCGTGCCATTCTCTCGGGAATGAAATACAGCTTATCCCCTACGCCACTTCTCACACGTTGTTGTCACCGCAGTACTTCTTCCTCGAAAATACTTCTTCGTCAGTTGCTCCTCCTGCTCGGTGAAAGCCTGCGTAGTCGGTAACTTAGAATGACTAAAATCTCCACACAGCACATTGTGTGGGTTGAACAGTGACCCTAAAGCTTTCACAGTCCTGCAGTGTTTGGCTCCACTTGCATTTGCTGGATTTAATGTAGGACAGCGTAGGCCCAGAACTGCCTGAGGGAAAAATTACTCCTAATCATGGTCGGTACAGTATATCTGCTTTGTATTAACTCATAGGAAACTACAGTGGACTGGACCATTATAGGAGAAATCATGGACTGCTAATAATAGTTGTATAAGTGGCACCGATTACGAAATATAAAAGTTAAAAAAATAAACTAAGTAATTAAAGTAATTCAAAATTTTTAAAAAACTAAGTAATTAAAGTAATTCAAAATCAAAATATTTCGGCAGTAATTTAAAACCCTTACTTCTCCATTCTATTTCTTTAGCTGTCAGAGACTAAGTTTGACACTTACAGAATCAGCCACACTGGAAGTAAAAAATATTTACCTTCCAAAACTAGCAAGGCACTTTCCAGCATTTCAGCGTCAGGCTCTTTGCATTTCTTTGAAATGTTGAAGTAAAATCAGAACCCAGACAAATCCGGGATAATTATGCAAAGTCCTCACATACAGTATAAACAAGCAGGTGACCTAGCAGTGACGCAACAGCTAACAACTCCACCACCAAGATTTTGTATAGCAAACTCATGTCATCAACTGTTGCTACCAGAGGTGGACTTCTTTCGGGAAGGGAACCGAAGGCCTTAGGCCCCAAACCAGTTTTTAATTTACTCAGAATTAACTCACTCAGTGTGAAACCTGAACCTGTTTAATTAAACACAATGCTTATGTACTTGCAGGAATTGAAGAAAGACTCACACCGAGGTCTTCTTCAACAGATTTCTCATTTTTTAACGTTTTTATAGCCATCTGCTGCCACCTAGTGGAAAGCATGTAATTGTTCTGCCTTTAATATTGCATTAAAGAACAAAACTAATCATTTGCAATAAATAAGTAATCGTTTTCAGACAAATTAGGTGAAATTCTATATTTTTTTCAATCAACTGATGACCTCTCATGAATCTCAAGTGGGGGGGCAGAGAACATTATTAATGTTACACAAACATATTTACTCGGTTGGTTGCAGCACGCTCCCATATTAATTTAATTTATTATGGTTCAGGTCTTGTGGTGAAATGTGACACAGAACCAGAGTTTAGCGTGAGAACTTTGAACACGCATGTAGTACGGTTCTTTTGCGGTAACACGACACTGCATCGTCCCCCAACAGGTGACGGTGCAGCCGCTGTGCTGCCGCGGGATTGTGTATTTATATCCTCGGCCTCAGACTGTGGCAGGGTGACCCATTTCTGTCCTGCTTTAATACCAGGCCAACTTCAACGACACTCACCTCTATCCATTTCTGTGCCTCCTTACAGGCTGGTTCGGGATGACTCGGCTCCTGCGACTCGTCCCGCGCCGGAGTGCTCGGGACTTTTAAATCCGCAACGGGACTGGCCATCTTCCTGCAGCTCGGGTATCCAAGGACCACAGCCACGGGATGAAAACAGCTTGGTTCAAATGTGCGGTGGTGTTTGTGTTGCTCCTCTTCTCTCCACCTCCTGCAGGGTCTGTCAGTCCGTTATCCTCCTCCTCCTCCTCCTCAGGCTTGGCGCTCAGTCACTCAGCTCCTCACCCACTCACTCCGCAGTGAGTCCCCTGCTCACACTATAGCGCAGAAAAGGAGAAAAACGACGCCGAAACACGAACCATCCGCTAAATATAACGATTCAGCTGCGGATGAACCGAGGCTGACGCCGCCGCTGCTGCCGCTCGTGGTGTAATGTTGTTGCTGGTGACTGGTGAGTCTGCAGCTGCCGCTGGCGCGCATTTCAGGACACGTGAACGCGCAGGCAGGAATCTGTCCGGGGGAGGTCGACAGAGGGGGACAGAGAGACAAAGAGGGAGAGGGGGCAGAATGGGGGTTGTTTCAGTTTTTTTTTTACTTTACAGTGAACTATGACTACTGGCTTTTTAAAGAAAAAAAATATCAACGAGAGCTAATTATTTATTAGCAGGAACTCTGCTGGAACTTCTACCCCCTCGTCTGTGGCAATATACTGTATCCTTCATTTCCGAAGGGAACCCCCGAGGGATTAATAAAGTTCTATTTATACAATTATTTTTCCAAAAAATATTACAGTTTTTAATCAAATATGTCTGAGAAATTTCATGGTCAAATCTTGCATTTTGATAATTTTATTGTTTGTTTTGTGTCATTTATTATGATGAAAAAAGTTGCTTTATGAGAAGAGTTCAATTAAAAAAAACTTTTTAAATATATATTACATAAAAATATTTGTTCTCTATTAACCGTTTCCTGGATCTTTTCTGGTCCAAAACAGGTACATTTTCCAGGACTTTCTGGCTCCAACAGGACATATGAGACAAGCCTCTAAACCAGGGTTGCAGGCAGCACTGACCGAGCCTGAGGATCTTTTACTGTATCTTTAAGGATGGTTGCCATAGAGACCCAGGAATCTGGCCAACTATCCCAGGAAGAGTTTTGGACCACTGCAAAGGATCTTGCTTCCTGTAACACAGGAAACTACATAAAAGAGGATTATGGATATTTGCTGAGTATGGTGCATTTATTGGTACTATGTAGTGCAGAGGCTCTAAAGATACTGTATTTATTCATGTTTCCTAACAAGTCCTGGACCAAAATTCACATGGACTCTCCAAAAACTGTGTCAGAGTTGAAGGTTTTCTTGCATATTTCTTTGAAAAGTTTACAGTTGGCAACTGTAGAAAGAAGCATAATCTCATTTAACATGTTTAACTGTGCTTTATTCAATATCAGCAGGGTTAGAAACGGAACAATACTTGGAAAGTGCACAAATGTAAACAGCTTCAAACACAGCTTAAACCTTTCGAGCTAATCACCCTGCACTGCTTAACGACCACGTTCATTTGGTGGTTTTGCTTTTACTGTGCCAAACTTGGACTTCTAATATGAGCATTAGGACACATTCACAGAAAACTTCAAATAAAGTGCATTCAAAAATGTTTTAAAGCGTAAACCTTCCACACATGGTGAATATCACATCACTAAAATGTTCAGAGGTTACCAAAGAACACATTGCAGAAGGTTACGTGTCAGCTCTGAACAATGGTCAAATTATTCCTACAAATGCATTTGGGCTTCTCTCAGGAATGTCAGCCTTTTATTCTCTACCACACAGCTCTTGATGGCATTCAGGACTTAACTAGTACAATCCATTGAAAATGCATTTTTTTGGCTCTTCTTTCTCAAATTTATGGAAAAAGAAAAATATATTAAGTGTCGACTAAGAGGTAGACGTAAAAAGCACACAAGAAGGAGCAAACAAATGAATACAGACACAGGAACACTGGCAAAATCTGGTCTGAGTTAACAACTGTTAAGAACATCACAGCAAAATATTCAGACCAGACTGTATTTATCAGCAGAACTTCATATTTTGGATTGATTGAGTGTGCTAGTCATAAAGAATGCTTTGTTCATGGGGTGAGAGTGTAGTGTGTGGAAACAGCATGTGCTTAGTGTCTGCAGATGTACTGTGTGTGCACAGGTCATTGTGGGTGACTACTGATTACGTTTGCAATGTTTGGATGAGTTAATGCCACATGTCTAGCTGTGACACAGAGCCACTGCAGAGAAACGAACTTCACCCTGCTCCCTTTCCATAAAGCCACGGCAAACTTTGGCCGCATCCTGAAGAGGAACAAGACAAGGAAAAGATTTAAGAAATAATTTTATGTTGATAAGGTAGAACAGAACAAATGTTATTTCCAAATATAGGTTAAATACAACTGACAATTTGATGAAAAAAAAAAATCACAGTTACAGGTAATTACTTTTAAAGATGTCACTATGTGTTTGATAGAATGGTAGTTTTTCTACACAAAGGCAAATATGGCTTTCCAGTGTATTATCATATTTCATTTACATTAAACAGTGCCCTCTTGTGGCTACTTCCTGAAGCCAAAAAGCTCAAAAGCCTCTATACAAGATCTTTTTTCAATATTTAGCAAAACAAACAAACTTAAGTAAAGCCAATGGTTTTACATACCAAAATGAAGCCTTCAACACTGGTGACTCCTTGTTTCAGTGGCCCATTCACTCTTCCATCTTAAGGGGAAAAAAAGCTCTAAAACTCTGCTGAATTTAAATAAACACTCTGTGTTGTACCTAGAAATACTTACCAAGTTCATAAAGTTGTCCATTTGCATTGATAAAAGTTACAAAGTGAAAGTTGACTTCGCCAGCATCCGGCTGTGAAAGTTTAGATGCGTTTGAATAAATTAGAATTTTAATTAGCAAACACAATTTAAATATAAACACAAACAGGTATACTGTATTAAACAATTTCAGGATGTTCAGGGTTATCGAGCAGCTTTGCATTGAAAATGTCTGTTAACAATGAAAGCATGCATATGTTTGCATCTTACCCTGCACTGGCCCTGAGCAGCGACCTCATTGTGAGCCCCACAGATTGCCTACACAGCACAAATTTAGCATCACACTACAGTGTAAACTGTAATTCAGAAATGAAAACATGATCAAAGTAGTTAACTATTTATAAAATTTAAAGTTTACCTGCATGCAAATGCAACAAAAACAAAAAAAAATATTGCAAGGGAACCAGTTGGACTCAGAAACAGTTCTCTAAATCACTTGCTTCAAAAGCATTGCTGTCAAACGGCCCTTATAAAGAACAGCATTTAGTGGTGTTTGTCGCCCCCTCGTGGATGAATTGAGCACCTCCTTTTAATGGCTGAAGGACTCGACTTGATGGGGGGTTTGTTCACTTTATAATATGTTATATTTCTTATTTATAATTTGTTTTCCACTAATTATGTATTAAATAGAGGCAAAGTGACTGTTAAATAAACAAAAAAAAATTAACCTGGTTCTTTTCCAGATGCTTGGCACGGTCATCAGCTGACATGTTTGCAGTCTCATCTAGAAATGCTTTCAAGTCAGAGCCAGAATCTAAAAAGACCGTGAAACAGTGAAAGCAATATATTATTAGCAAACTAATATCATACTTGAAAATAAAATCGTACTATATTCTCTATCTTTCTATCCCAAAGTGTTTTATATTATTTTAATATAACTCTATATAATGCTATACTAAAATACTGCTGATAACAATGACTTGTACATGTCTTATCTGGTGTCTATAAAGTAGGCCATGTACATCATTACTGTTAATGTTCAGGTTATATTGTTCCAGTATCTTTTCACTCTCACTCACCAAAAGTCAATTTTCCTTGATTATTGGCCACAGCATGCAGCAGTGCAATGGTGCCACAGGAATTATCAATTGTCTGCTTCAGGAAATAAACACCAGTATCCCCAGCATCTCCACCACCCTGCTGCTTTCTAAATGATTCATGCTGTCATATACACACAATAAAAGAGAGAAAACATAATCAATTCAGCGATCATCCATGAGAGAAAACACTTACTAGAAAATGTATCCATAAGGAACCCTTTATCTCTATTTTTTAGACATGAGTCAAATTTCTGAGCTGCCCAACTTCAGTGTCATGTTTCATGACCTAGCAGGGACAATCAATTCCATTGTAAATGACATTGGAACTACATAATGTAACATAATAATAAGACATATTATTAGTATTAAAGTATTATGGTTAACTTCTGGAAAGGTTAAGTTTTCAAAAAAAATTGTCAACTCATTCCAGTTACATACAAACAGTTGCATAACGTTTAAGGAAAAGCATCTGCTGAATCACTGATCCACAGTCACTGATCCATCCCAATGCCCTCCCTGTATCCCAGTCTCACACCACCCTCTCCCAGACATCCTGTATGACCCCACCCTCTGATACCACTAAACATCACCGCAGCCGCCTGCTCAGTATTGAACTACCTGTGGTGTCAGTGGAAAGAGAAGCATCAGGGCACAGCACTCTTTCGGTAGGGTTTTGAGCTGCTCAGCCTCCAGACCCAGAACGTCCACGAAGCGCCAGGTTTTACCTACGCCTAGTTTGTCCATCATCTGAAACACAAAACACAATGCTTTAAATTGATATCAAACAGTTAAGTTGACATCATCACAACGGTCTTCATGAGAAAAGATGCTGCGTTGTACTGTTCCAGCCTGACCACACCCTTTCAGCCCACACACTAGGCTGCGCGTGGAAGGATGCTGTAGCTAATCATGTCAAGATTTTTCATGTCATATTAGATCGATTACATTGTGATATTTTGTGTTTACCTTAAACAACTGATAAGCGAGTTATTTATTTAGGCTGCTACTTACTGGCTAAATGTTGTCGTAGTGACAGTGACCACGCAGCAAGGCGTAACAGACCACGGCACCAGCTAATGAGTTTAAAACTTACCCGACCGTTATAATTATCTTTAAGCGGCCATTTGCCAAACGTTTGGCACTCACCTTATTCAACATCTGGAACGACAAAAGGAAGAAAATAGTTGTTTAACCACCAGTGAAAACGTTATGTTACGATCTTCAAAGTTAGCATGCGGTATTTTGTTTACCTCAGGGTTGATTTCCATTGCGGCCAACTCCATTTTGACAAGTTTTGAATTTGCAGAGTGACTCGACAAGTTTAAACCGTCTTCTTGGTTCTTGTTGGCGCCGTTAGCTGAAGTCACACAAGGTGCACTTTAAACCGTCCGGTCATACCATTTTACCCCAGACGGGGGTGTGCTACGATCAAATTACTAATGTTGCACAGACTAAACACTGTTTTGGAAATATGTATTCTGGTATTCTTACTCAAAGCCTAACCTGCTACATGAATTGTGGAATAATTCAACAATCTAATTAAAAAAAAAGAAAATGTATTTTCAGTTTCACCCCTAAAGTTGAGATAATTTAAGCTCCCTGCTCTCACTGAGATTTGATCTTGCACTTTCTAGAAGATAAGGGGAAATTGTTCACTTGTAAAACAGTTACAAAAACAGTCCTAAGATAAATAATTGTAATTATAATTGTAATGCAGATGGTAGTTTCATTTGTATATATATATACACGGCATTTTGTTAAATAATTTGTGGCTTTCTTAAGTACTCCACTGAAGAACCTCATGTTTTATAATACATATAAAATCTCCTGTCATGATTTATTACGTTTATATTTCCTTTGAATTTAATTGTAAATAAAATGACATTTTTTGCCATTAAATAAAATTATATGTTTCCAATACCATGAACTCTGAATAATGAAAATTCTAATATACATCCAGTGAAAAGTAGAATAATCTCTGGCAGGCATCCATTTATAAGAAAAGCCAGCAAAGCACTTTCAGTCTACTTCTGTGGTTTCACATAGATAGTTACTATGTCTACATTCTACATTTCATAGTTACCATGAATAAAGTATATAATGCAACTTGACATGTTTTATTTAGTTATAAGTACAATTTTCTTCTTTCACTCCTGACTTCTGGTTTTAATCATCTATCAAACTTTAAGGGATTAAAGGGAGAAAGGGGGGGAGATATATCAATAATTTTGGTGTTGACTATTTTAGGAATTTTAAAATACAGTTACTAGAGTAAAAACGTGTTTTCCTAAATGTGTATAAAATTGGATTAACACCAATAAAATGTCCTATAAAGGATAAGAAAAACACGTGGAAGTATTACAGAACTATTGGCACAACTCCAAAATTCTTAACACGCCAAAGCAAGCAGCTGAAGAAGAGCAGGCATTCATGACAGAAACAATTGAACTTTTCTGACAAGCTTTATTGAATACCTGCTCAACAATGTATTTTTGCTCATTCAACTATATTGTCATTTTTTCCATACCTTGTTTAAGGTGTCATATAACCTTTTTTTGGTGCCGTGGTCTTTATTCATAACAGTAATAAATGTTATCCAAAGTGTTTGGAATAAGAATTTGTATGAGGGTCACCCATGTGGTGGTCGAAAATTACAAGAAAATAGTCGTAAATTCATAAAAATTAAGATGTGAATTTTATCAGAATAAAGTCGTAAAGTCGAGAAAAAGTGATACTTTATTTTAGAAATAAGTGGTTTGTTTTTAAATATTAAGTCTCAATAGGGCGGAACAAGTAGGAATATTCGAGAATTGGAAATGTTGCAATTCACAATGGCCCTCCGTTGAAAGAATAATGAATCATTATGTCCAAAACGCAATTTCCCAATGTGCACCGGGGCAAATGGGTGCGGTGCACACGCGCGGACTCGTCACACGGTCACGCGCACGTCAGAGACTTTTTCCGAGTGGGTTTTCTCTCGCTCTGTCTTCTTGTCCTTCTGCTGCTACGCTCCTTCTCTCTCCTCCTGCTCCCAAACTCCTATCTCGAGTCACCTAGAGCTCTGCGGTGAGTTTTTCTCTTCTTCTCAGGTGGTCGTTTTAAATTCTTTGTAGAACAGCCAGGTGAGCGGGGTCGAGCAGCCGTAGGAGCTTCTACCTGAGGAGCTTCCGTTTGACAGAAGGGCTCGCTGTGTAAACTGTGAACAGGACAAAAGAAAGCAGCTGTTTCAAACTGGATACAGACATTTTCATAAGTGTTGGACTTTAAAGAAGTTAGACTGCCTTCATTGTTTTTCATAGTTTGACTTTTGGTTTATTTTGTTTTGTTTTTTGTTCGACAGGTTTTCTCCTCACCGTCGTTTCATCTTTCATCACTGTCAATATGGTGAGTCTGTTTTATGTTACATATGGCATCGTATTGTGGCTGAAATAATAATTCCTCAAATAAAGGTCCGTTATTTATGCAAATGTATGAGTCACGATAGTTTTTACCCTTTGAATGCAACGACAACGCCCACTTTATTCCACGGTATGTAATGCTGACCGGAAAGACAGTAAAGAATTATTTGACACCAACTTTATATCTCAATTTCACGTAGTTCAAATGTCAAACTATCTTTTTTTTAGTTTCCTGAGTTAGTTGTTGTTGTTCAAGTCAATGAACCTTGGCTGTCGGAGTCGAACTTCTAACTTTATCATAGTATTTTATCAATGATAAGTAACTTTAACAAATGCTTATCTACGTTGCCGTTGTTTTTATATCTATAAGGATTTTCTTAATTTTCAATCATTGTGAAAAGAAATATTTAAAATGTAAGAGCGTTGTTTGACCCAAATTAGAAATATGTTTTCATTGAAAGTTGGGGTTGGTTGCATAACCACTGATAATCTCTAAACTGCAGTAGTGAGACAATGCATTTGGCAATCACTGGTCCTCAGAAGCTTAAAACCCTGTGTATTTGTGTTAAATGTACCTGGTTGTGGGGCTACATAGAGTTTTCATTTGGGGGAAGTTGGGAAGTTTAAAGTATGACTCATTTGGCCTGTATTCCATTCGGGTGGGTCTCTCCGTCTGCCTCCACCTCTCCATACTGTTTATAACACCCAGCTCCACGTCTGAAGGGGACCTTAAATCTGCCCTCCCTCTCTTAAAGGGGAATCACTACTTTATTTCCTCTATATACTGATGTGGAGGTCTTCTGACAGCATGAACATTTTAGTTTCTTTTTCTTTAAAAAAGTTAAATAAAGCTGCTAGGCTGCCACGATGTTCTGAAACTTACAAAAACTTACACATCCTTTTTTAAAAAAAGCATGATTGTAGTTTTTGTTCCTGTCAGCAAATTTTTAGGTTAAAAACAAAACTAACTAGTTTGTTCCTTTTTAAGTAAACTGATTAATTTTTTGTTGGAATCAAACTAGTGACCACACCTATGCACTCGAGGTCAGGGCTGGAGGACAAGTTTTCCCCCCTTAGCCCCTCACACTGTGTACACTGTCCTGGGGCTGTGCACACTCAATTTGTAATATCCACAAAATGGTGTGAAAAGTGCTGTTTATGTTGCTGAATTCTTTTTGCAATAACCTAAAATTAGAGAGTATTCTTCAAGTTGTACTGTAACCTTAAAGCTAATACAATAACAAAAAGTCTCAGCTGTTTGACTTCAATTGTCCCAGTGGTAGCTAAAGTATGTACTGTATGGTGATAGAGAACTAACAACAGGTGTGTTTTCATTGATTCCCTATGAGCGTGTTATTCTGTCAATGTATTTAAAGAACTGAGAACATGTGTTACTCCATTTTCCACACACCACTGTGAGGGAAATAGTTAACCTGGCTTCTACCGTGGTAATCACACAGGAGAGCTTATCATAATTAGCACAAGTTCACAGAACAAAACCTGTGTTCTCACAGTCGTCTACCTGCTGCTGCTGCTCCGTCTCCAGGACAGTGACAAACTGAAATCACTATGGAGACCTAGTAGTCTGGTTGCTGAAAATGATCCAGTCCATTCTACTTATTAATACAGTCGTGCTGTTGCTGCTATTGCATAACAATTGATGTGTTTGCATCATCTGAACACAAAGTCACTGTGTGCAGTCCATCTGTGCCTCTGTTTGTTTTAAAGTAGAGAAACCAGTCCTTTCAACACTAGTGAAAAGTCAACCTAGCCCCACCTGAAGCCCCCACCCCCAAAACAAGTTCATGTCTGAACTCGCTGTAGAGACTGAAGATCATGCAGTGGTGGTGGACGTGACCTGCGTCGTGCCAATGTGTCCCTGTTTGTCCTAAAGGGTTAATCAGATTTCTGCAGCTTGTGGCGATGACAGTGCTGGTGAATTGGTTTTTCCTGCACTGAAGCACACAGTCCTGGTTGTTCGCTGACAGCGTCTTGTCTTTTGGATTCCCAAATGTTTTTCTGGGCCAGAATTCCAGAGACATTCCAGTGGTTTTGCTGTGCATACAAGCAGAATGAGAACAGCATGGAACGGTTAACGAAAATTGATTGTTCAGTTAATCTTTTTCAGCTTTATCAAGTTCCTACATTGTCTTTATGGCTGTCACATTCACATTCAGAGAAATCATTAGCCAAGTAGTCAACGCTTCCATTCACACCTGGCTTCTCTAAAACAATGCTTCTCTTATCGGTTCCTAACAGAATTCGATTTAAACAGACTACATTCATGCGTCACATTGATTTATGTATATCTTCGTGTTTACACTGGGATCAGACTGTTCTTGACAACCGATAATGAGTCATTGAGATGACTTTTATTTAAATTAGTCTATTTTTTTACTTTGTTTTGAATGAGTTGCATTTTATCATTTATTACTGCAGTTGTTCTTTTGTCTGCTTTGCAGTTTTGCCATAGGAGGGAGAACATCATGACATCAGATATAAAGCTGATGCAGTGGATATAGATGTGATACAAGATGAAAAATATTTAAATTTTGTTACAGGATCCTCAATGGTGCTTTACACTTTCAGTAAAACACACAGTTACTAAGACCTAATTTCCACTCATGTTTTTGAAGGTAATGAACAAACTTAGTGTTCCAGAGCTACAGAGAAACTTCTGTATCTCTGGAGAGTAGAGTTTGGCGATAAAGGAAAGTTGGCCCGGCGAAGGTGGTCAGAGACCAAGAAAGGCTCTATCTGCATTTTAAAAATGTGTGTTCTTCTCCTGTGTTGCAGGCCTCTATAAGACCCAGTGGAAACTTCAACTCCAGCGAAGATGCTGAGGCCCTGCGTAAGGCCATGAGAGGCCTGGGTAAGAGGATGCTAGTGTTAGTGTGAATGTGTTGTTAGCATAGTGTTTTCTGGTGGTCTGTCAGTTCGTAGTATAGTCTGTGAACAGAGCAGTGGTCTTTGGGAGTTCCTCTCTGTTCAGCGTAGTCACTCCTGCCGTCTGCCCCCACCCACACAGCAGTGAGTCATAAACACATGAGCAGAGAAAAGTTCAAACCGCTGTGAGCAGAAACATATGATGTAGCCCTGCAGTCTAGGTCATAATTATGTGGTAAATTATATGGTAGTTGTAAACAGCTTTGCTAACCATGGCACTGGTCGTCATAGGAACTGATGAGGACGCCATCTTGGCGCTGCTGACGGCCCGCAGCAACGCCCAGAGACAGGAGATCAAGACCGCCTACAAGACCCTGTTTGGAAAGGTCTGACTTTCTCATATTTAATCTGATTCAATCTGCTCTGTCAGCACAAAGCACGTAGTCATTCACTGACTGTTCAAACGTTACTGATAAAACGGAGTCGTAAACCACACCCATTTTAATTGATTATTACATTAGTGTATTTCTACATCTACAAGACACTCCACAAGTAAACCTAAACACTCATGTCTTTCCAAACTCCTTTGGGGTCAAAATGACCATGCCTGGTTAAATGCTTATTTAATATGTATATTAATGAATAATATTAATGTAGTAATTGAGGTTAAATAGACCTTGTTTATCAAATACATAACAAAAAAAGTAAAATTTAATACTGTATTTTAAAAATACTGGTACTGGATAAAATAATAAAATTATATTAAAATTATAAATAAATGATTTGTGACATAATTACCAATAAGAGACATTTGTGTAGGAATTTGCTGAATATCTTTAGTTTAAAAAAACTGAACAAAAACAAGTAAATAGCTGAAAAAAGTTACTTCTAATTGTGAAAGCCTTGAATTTTTGACAGAATGATTTTTATGTGAACATTGATGGGATCTTACAACAGAACTAATTTAAAACTATCATATAAAATGGTTCAGCTATGTGTGAGGAATCCTTTTGACAAAATGACAAAACAAACAAATAATTCCTCTATAAATTAGTAACATAACCTATAAAGTAGAAAACATGCTTCAGCACTGAAGATAAAAACAACTCTTACCCACTGATCTACAGCTAAATACAGCCTAAATAATTAGAAAGTAAAAAATTTTATTATATCTCATATCAAGTCATAAAACTGAGTGGTTGTAAACTTTTATTGTGGATTGTTCCAGACATAGGTTGTTAATAATTACAGAATTTAGACGCACTGGTATCAGATTGTGCAGACACAGCTGGATTTGGTTTCTTTTTATACTAAATTATTGTTTAACCACTTTTAAGTTGTCAAAATATCCTCAAACATGAAACTAAACCCATTAAAGGTTTTATCTTAACTCCCTGGATCAATGCTTCACAAGCAGTAACTAAATCCATTTTTTTTCCACTACCAGGATCTTATCAGTGACCTGAAGGGGGAGCTGGGCGGCAAGTTTGAGACCCTTATTGTTGCTTTGATGACCCCACCCCTGGAATATGATGTGTCATCACTGCGCAATGCAATTAAGGTAAGAATTGCAGGAAGCAGACACACATGCACAGATACCAGTGGCTGGAATGAAGAATATGTAATATGTGGCATTTTCCATTTTTGGCCTCTAGGGGGCAGGGACGGACGAGAAGGTGCTGGTGCAGATCCTTGCATCCAGAACCCCAGACCAAGTGAGGCAAATTGTGGCTGCGTACAGAAAGGGTAACACACACATATAAGTGTATGACTTGTCTCAGCTGTGATTTTTCTCAGTACAAATACAACTTTGACGTGTGTTTTAATCACTCAGAGTATGACGACGATCTGGAGGAGGACATTTGTGGTGACACCTCAGGTCACTTCAAGAGACTTCTGGTTGTTCTGCTGCAGGTAATCTTTACTTCTCTCTTCTTTCCTCTTCACATCTCCTGTCCTGTCTCCTCTCCTCTCACATTCTTCTCTCCTCAGGCGAACAGGCAGAGGGGGATCCAGGAGTCAGAGATAGAGAATGACGCTCAGGTCTGTGGATCATTTCTGCTGTTTGTCTTCTGTGGTTTTAAACTTCCTGTTTCATTTCCATGTAAAACTGTGGTTTTGTACGGTTTCCTGTAGTTTAGAGTCACATCTATGTCTTGCATAATGACCAACGAGAAAAGCTGTTGCAGAATCAACAGAAAAATATGGTGGAGTTAACAGTCAATAGAAGTATCTACTTTAGTCCAATTAATGTTAATAATAATTCATCTCTGTGGTACAGGTTCTCTTCCAGGCCGGAGAGAAGAAGTTTGGCACAGATGAACAAATGTTCGTCACCATCCTGGGAAACAGAAGCTCTGAGCATCTAAGGAAAGGTGTGTGTGTGTGTGTGTGTTTTGAGGATTTGTACAGACTGGGAAAAGAGGGAGATCGAGAAATCCTGAACTTTTGTTTCAGTGTTTGATGCCTACATGAAGCTGTCTGGATACGAGATGGAGGAGAGCATCAAGAGGGAAACCTCCGGATCCCTGAGGGACCTCCTGCTGGCCGTGGGTAGGAAGAGTTCCTGTTCTGACATCACTTCCTCTGAGTGGGGGCAAGGATTATAATAACATTGTTTCACCTTTTTCAGTCAAGTGCGCCCGGAGTGTTCCCACATACTTTGCAGAGACTCTGTATTACTCCATGAAGGTAGGACAAGATAAAAGATGTTGTTTGAGTGCAGTTGTTGTCACTGTTTATAATTGAATTATTAATTCTCATTATAACAGCAACAGTAGACAAATGTTTATTTCCTGCTCTTTTTTCCTGAGTTCTTGTTACTTATACAGCTCTAATATTACTATGTCTTAGCAGGGCATGGGTACTGACGACGACACCCTGATCAGAGTGATGGTGACGCGAAGTGAGGTGGACATGATGGATATCAGGGGTTTATTCAGGAAGTTGTTTGGCACTTCCCTGCATAAAATGATCAAGGTATGATGGTGAACTGGTGGACTGGTCACTTTATCTTTACTGCCTGATCACATCTGAAGTCACTCAGACACTAGTCACACAAATATTTTCTGTAATGAGTACTTTTAATGCTTGTGATTGAAGTAGAGGGCAATTTTAGAAGGAATTTATAGTAATTTTTTGGTCTGTACCTGTTGAGGATGTTACATCTTGGACTTTGAAATTCAGGCTTGAATGAAAAGTGACAGCCCTAACGTGTACTTGCAATGTTTTGGATACAAATACTTCTGAGTGATCATCTACGTATTCTCACCACAGGGAGACACCAGCGGTGACTACCGTAAAGCCTTGCTGTTGCTCTGTGGTGGAGATGACGCGTAACCATGGGAACAAGCTCATCACAGCCCAACGGGCCTTTTAAACTATCATTTCAAAATTGTTATCTTTTGAAGGAAGCTAACATTTTGTTTATGTCCTCATTAATGCAGCTTTTGGTTGACTAATTTTCTTTGTTATCATTTATCCTTTCAGCGTAACCTCAATGCATTCTGTGTTTTGTTAAACAACGGAACTAATTTTCACAATAAAACATTTCATTTATGAAGTTCTTCAGTCTTTTTTTCCTCATTTTTCTATTACTTATGTGCCGACCTGTCTTGTCCGGGAGAGGGCGCCATTTGCACGCGGTGCCGCTGAGTGCCATATCTTCGACAGATGTACAGAATATTTCTATGATTGAAGGTGTTTATAAAGTTAAACATTGACAGCGTTATTCGCAAAATATAAGATGTTTTTGCTACGAATATAATAATAAGCATAATTTAACATAACTTTCATTTAAACATTTTTCAAAATCATTTACAGGAGTCACTTTAAAAAAAGCATGAGACCAAAAACAGTTACAGGTTTTTACCTTTATAAAACTTAATTTTTAAGTGTCAGTTCATTCCAGGGCCTCTGCAGTAAACTAGTGTAGTATATGCGTGTGTGTGTGTGTGTGTGTGTGTGTGTATTAGGTCACCTTGGTCCTTTCACTCTAACTCTTTGTTGTTCTTTTGCACAGAAGTGGTTTGCTGTCTAATTCACTGGCACAGGCAGAAGCAGCCAATAACAGGCAGTGAAGTGCAGGGTGTGGGGTCAGGCCACCTCTACTCACGGGAACAACAATGACTGACTCCTCCCCCCTCGCTGCTCCGTGTTTTTAGGGTGTGCGTGTGTGTGGGTGGCACATGTTGTGTCAGCTTGGTAGGTCACATCGGCAGCAGCCAGTGAAGCGTTTTGTTTGTTTTCCTGTTTTTCATTCCTCCTGTTAACCCGCCGCTCCTCCTCCTCCTCCTCCTCATCCTCCTCCATCACACAGGCTTGGGCACAATGATGGTTCAAGATCAAGTTCGCTCTCATGGGATGATTGTCTTCCAGTTACAGCCTCTGTTGTCGAATCACTTCAAACGTTGTCATCTGATCCCTTACTGACTCAGATTGCCAGAAAGGGGGGAAAAAGGAAACTCAGTAACAGAAACAGAATTAACTACATACCAACGTTACTGTTAACTTTTCAACAATCTAATCTGCCCTTTGTTATTGGGGTGACGTGCAGTCTGTAGGTGTTCGACTGAGGAGAGACATCGGTGTATTCAGAGCTAGGATGAAGTATTTGGATTAAAATGTTAGGTCCAATCCTGGTGCTGGATCACATGCTAACCCTCAAGTTCTTCCGCACCCTTTCACCTTTTGACCTCTAAAATAACGAGGCCACAGACCACTGACCTCTGTAATCCCAAAGGACAGGCCACGCTGACAAAAAGCTTCCTGTGCTGCTGCACCTGATGTCATCGATCACTCTGTCAGGCTCAGCTCGGAGGTCACTGAGGAGAGAGAGGAAATCAAAGTTTAACTACTTTTACACTTTAGTTTAGTCATTTGTTCGTTTTTACGACAGCAAACCAGGATCATGGGGAGGGTGTAGAGGGGGTGGGGGCTGGTAGAACAATCTCAACAGTCATTGGGCGATGGCAGGTCTCCAGACAATAACATACAGTAGAGGGACAAGCGTTCACACTCATAACATTGGATCATTTAGAGTGAAATGAACCTGATCCTGTACTGTGGTTGGAGACCATAAAGGAACCAGATCTAGGACCAGTGGCCTTTGTGGTTCCAAGTCTAGTTTAGACCAGTACTAGAAGGTTTACTACTGCTATGGTTCTGAGTGTCGATAGATCTTGAACATTCCTTGACTCCAGCCTCCTTTTGTCACAATCCCGTCCACAGAGAGAGAACTGAATCAAACAACCCATCAGGCCCAGGGTGGTGTGTGTTTAAGGCAGCACATTGGAGATGTATGTGCTCAGTGTGTGTGTGTGTGTGAGAGAGAACATGTCTGGACTGGTGAACCTGAGTGATGTTAACACTTTGATATTAAAGCTGGTATTTTTGTTCTGTTTGTACAGATTTGATCTGTCACTTCCTTCTTCCTGTCAGAGAAAAGTAACAAGTAGAGGCCTGCGATGATTAAATCAGATACGGAACAGAAAATGACTCAAATTCCTGAACATTACTGAGATTTGGAGTGAATCTTACAGTATCTGTTCTAATTCAGATCCCTGTTATTTAATGAATTGCTGAAAGTGAATTTACAATAAATGATGTGGAAGTGACCATATAAGGCAATAGCTAAAATCATTAGCTTGACCTCCAGCCTGTCGCATCACTGTGTACAGTAGCTGTTATACCAGTACTTCTCAAATAGTGCAGCGGGGAGTTAAGTTGCGGGGGGGGGGCTTCCAGTGGAATATGGCACACTGGACATAAGTGTACCACTGCTGTAATGCTTGAGCCTCCAGTCGCTAGGTGGCAGCAACTCATACAGTGGTTTGTACATTCACAACATTTCTGTCCCCAAAGGGGGAGGGGGGTCTTAAAATTAACAATATTGTCTATACTAAGACAATATTGTTAATTTTCAGCCTGTCTCACCGCTTCCCCCTGTGGCCTGGACTGAGAAGAGCACATCGTCCTCGGCTGACACACAATTCATCTCCTTGAACACTTTCACATTTCTCTAATGATGTTACAGTAGTGATAATAATCCGTGAGTCACACACAAACCTGCTCTTCATCTACTTTCTGAGGTGCGTAAATGTGTTACCGATTATACGTACGTCTGTACAGCCAGCAGGCAAATTCCAGTAAAACAATCTTATCACAGACTGTGAATTACGCCCTCACACCCTACAGTCATGAGCAAACATGTTACTGTAGAACGTTAACATTTTTAACAAATGTGAATCATTCCTGATTTTAAAAGAAAATGAATACAAAAGCTGTCAAATGTTTTAAAAAACCATGAGGCAGCTGTGGACTAATCACGATTAGTCATTATCAACCTCTTTCACACTGATTAAAATGAAAGAAAAATTGAATTTTTTTCTGTGTATTGCTGGGACAGAAAGTCTAACAACAGCAGGCAGGTGTCTGAGTTTCACACCTGTTGTTATTGGCGACTCGTCCAAATGATGGAATTATTACATGGGAAAAATGTCACCCTGAGATTATACTGGGAGATCATCATTATTTTATGAGGTGTTCTTTACTCACAGGCCTTCAAGAAGTCTGCAAACTTCTACTTGAGAACTGAGGCTTTTATTCCCCTTCTCTGGGAAACACCACAAACAAAAAAGGGCTGGACCCAGAGGCAGCGCTGCAGACATGGAGCAGATACAGACACTGAGAACGAGACCAACAGACCAACCCAGACATAAATCCTGTGTGAGAGAGGGAGGTTTAAATACCCAGGGCACCAGGTGAGACGGGTGAGACTAATGAGACAAAGAGGCACAGGACCAGGTGAGGGTGATTAACTAATGACCAGACAGAAGGACAGACAGTCATGACAGGAAATCCTTCCACAGCGTCCTGACGACTTGTCAAAACTCCAGTGGTTTTTCAGTGATCTGCATCCTCACATTAATCCTCAATTTTTCAATAAATATTAAGTTTGACTTTGAGTTTGACAGCCCTGCGTTAAAAGGTGGAAATGACTCTGGAGTTGGCTTGTTGTTAAGTGTCTGTCTGAGGGGACGGAGGTCAGAGGTGAGGAAACCCCAGAGGACAGACAGGAAAACATAAAAATCCACATCTGCCGTGGGTGGCACTTGTTCAGGGATCTCTCTCTCTCTCTCTCTCACTCTGTCTCACACACACACACACACACAGCTGAATTATTTCAGTCTTTATAACCGGGCCGGTGGCCCCTGATGCAGCTGCCGCTGTCACATAGAGACTAATGAGAAACTGGAGCAGGAAACAGCAGGAAGCAGCTGACTGAACAGTCCTTCCTCCTGAGTGTGTGGTGTTCTGACCTGGGAACATGTCACCAGTATCTGTGTCTCATCATAAAACTACCTCGAGTACTTCTTTTACTCCAGTATATCCAACAATACTGTGTGATTACAGCACGATTGGGAAATGGTACTTTACATGGTAATGAAATCCAAGGATCTCCTTCACTTTACTTAATGTGAACCCAGATCCTGTTTAGTTGAAAACAAAGCCACGGACCAATCAGAACTGACCCTGATGCTGTTGCATGATGGTTAAGTATCTTCTTGTATTTGTCAGGATTGAGGACACCATTAATCCTGAACCTAATCCCTAAATGCAGCTCGGGACACATGGAGACCCCCCCTCCCAGAGTCAGTGACCATGACTAATGACTTAAGTACTACCAAATATTTACTATTTTTACTCATTGGTCTAGAGCACATGTGTCCATTTTACCATATGCCAAATCTTATCTTACATTATTCTATATTTGGTCGTTTGAAACAATAAATACTTAAATAAATAATACAATTATTTTAAATATATAATAGTAATAATATATATATATATATATATTCGTGAAAGTATTTCTAATTTTTTTAACGACTTCCTGAATTGTTAGCAGAGAACTGTAGGAGTCACTATTGACTATTGATTTAACAAATTACAGTTTACACTGGTTCTAAAATGTTAATCATTATTTTCTATCTCAACTCTAAAATAAAAATACTACATGGTTTATCTAATTTTACCATAATGTTTGAGTTGAGTCTCAGTTTCATCATTCAATAAAAGACGTTGTAAAAAAAAAAGCTATATTTTGCAGCTAATTACGAAACAATCTTCGTCTTTGGGTCGAAATCCATTCATACATCAAACAACACTGGGTCAGAAAAATAGAAAGGATTTATTTGTAATAAACAATTACAAACATAAATGTACGGATATTACAGATACAGAGATAAAACACAGTCATGACTGATGGTCACTGTCCGAAAGTCAGATACAAGGTCATCAACTGTGTGACGTCATGTCAGGAAACTTCAACAATTTTTATGTTTAATGTTTCCCAGAGATTAAAACACAGTATATTCTAGTCAGGCACCTGAGTTTGAAGCTTTCGTGAAAGTGAGTCACCGACAGTGATGACGTACATGGCCTCGGTCAACAGGTGTTTTGGACCATGGAGAAGAAGAAGGCGCACACACTGGCCCAGGAGCTGGAGCAGTACTCCTCTGCGGCCCTCCTGCGCTCTTCATGCCCAGGGCAGGCTGTGGGGCCGGGTGACGAGGATAAGGAGTTGGAGGTGGGGGTAAATGCCGGGGTCTCCCCTCCTCCAGACTGAGCAGAGACCACTGAGCTCTCGATGACCAGCTTGAAGTGCGCGTCCCGGTGAGCGCGTTTGCACATGGCCGCCTTGACGAGCGCCTTGTCATCTGTGCACACCTTGCCCTGCAGCTTCTTCAGTGCTCGGCCCACCTGTTTCCAGAAGGCCCGGGGGTCCGGCAGGAAGCCCGGGCACCTCTGAGGTTTGGCCGTGTACTCGCACGCCATGTCGGTGACGCCGCCTTTAACGCGCGCCTCCGGGTTTTCACACTTGACCAGTAGCTTTACTGCGGCCCGTGCGTCCTTGGGCCTCCAAGTGCACCACATCCCGTCCGTCAGGGTGAATTTCCCGCCTCGACCCAACGATGGATTTTTGGACAAGCTTCTCTGAAATCTGCCCAGGGGTGGTCTGAGGACCGCGTGCTCCTCGGTGCGCGCAGACGCGGAGCAAAGAGAGAAGTGTGTCCCGAGGAAAGCCAGCAGCATCCAGGGGAAGAAGACTCTGAGCAGCAGCATCTCTGTATCACTCCTGACGCGATTATATTATTATATTATAAATATATATATATATTATAAATGGACCCAGAGAATGGACAGAAAGACGCAAAAGTAAAATGGTTACAGATGATAAATGCCATGAACAGCAGTGGTGTTTGAGTGAAGTCGAACTTACTGAAGATCACAGGAGGTGCTGTGGGTCAGACCTCTTCTTGTCCTGTGACTGTGTGTTGTCCCACACATGGCTTTTATACAGATAGATGCTGAGGCACACCCATCATTCCCGCCCAAACACACACACACACACGCGCACAGGAGCAGGGGCTGGTTTCCTTCATGACCATAAATCCTTTTGTATTTCCGACACACCTGACATCCTCACTGAGCCACAGCTAAAATCTATCATTTAAACAGGTTTCTATTTAAGTTCCGTTAATAATAATCGACTCAGGTTTTACTATATTTACTTTTATTGTTATTTTCAAGTATTAAAAACCTCAATAACCAATGAAACATTACACAGCTCCTCACTTTTATATTTATTTTATATCATTATACACTTGTTGTGTATAATGATATAAAATGGTAATAATATTATGATTTAAAAAAACTTCCAAGCATCCTCCCTATTACAAAACAAAATATCTGCCAAGAGTTTTACTGACGGTCCTGCAGCGTCGTCTGATGTCTGTTTGCTCAACACCACCCCCTTGTGGTTTTTGGAGGTTGACGTTTTCATAATGTTTAAAGTTTGCAGCGAAAAATCAACCGGTGAAATGAGACAGGTGGAAACAAAAGACAAATATCTCTGGGACTATCTTCTGGAGACCTTTATTCATCACTCAATGTTTTAAAAACGTCGTCAAAGTAAAAAGAAAAGCGTGTTTCCAACTAAAAGATGGCACCAGAAGAAAACCGGTTCAGGGACACGGAGCTCCAGGAACAGACTGACTAAATGTATGGAGGGGGATGAGGTGCAGCACGTCGACCAGGTGACGGTGATTGGGTAAATATGGTTGGGTGGAGCAGACCATGTATTTGTCTTTGGTTTTGTTAAACAAATATCACGGTGTCCCTGAGGCATCATGTTGACTGGAGCCGAAACCGAAAGGTTTTACATTAACAGTATCATCACAAATATTTTTTTTAAATAAAAAAACATGGAGGTCTTTGACAGAGGAAATGCACAAAATGTTTTATAAAACAACTGAATCAAAAACGCAGATTCTGATTAATCAGAAACAAATCCTACCACAAATTAATCAACAATATACATGTACATATATGTATATATTTTATATTTAAAAAATAATATATGAATAGTATTTATTATACTCATATATTTACAGTATATATACTGTACATCTACACATATACAACATATATGTGTAGTTATATAGTTTTACAAAACCATATTTTACAGCTGAGTAATGTTTATTTATCTAAATATATATATATGTTTGTATATATTTGTATATATTTAAATGTATTATTCGGCAAAAAACATGGTTTTGTAAAACCAGACCGACGAGGTACCTAAACCTTTTAAGAGACCACCCCTCGAAAGAGTTAAATAAACCCAATTATACCTGTCTTTTCCCCGTCTGGGCCTGTGTTCCTGAGTCTGTGGAAACACTGGAGCAGCAGACGTGGACTCAAACACAGACCTGCTCTGTTCCTGCACACTGTAGCTCTAAGAAGCCGACCCTCGGCCTCCCACAAAGAAGGCTTCACTCCTGTGTCGTTATCCTCACTGCGGAGCGTGCCTGTGCATTAACGGCTTCCTCCACCAGGCCGCAGACGTGTGGTCACAGCTGATGACCAAACAAGGGCCCCTTCTGTCAGTGAGTGGGAAGGAGGCGCTTATTCAGGACAGGAGAACGAGAAGAATGGACTCGGAAACTTTATCGACTCTGCATCTTTGACAGTTTATTGAACCATTCAGCCACGTGACACCAGAAGAGAATTTTACATCATGTACAAACACACACACACTCACACACACACACATGCCTGGCTGCTGTTTCCTCCTGCTGCGTGGAGTCAACTTCCTGACAGCAGACGCTGTCGTCTTTAAAACGGTTTTCTCTCAGCTCAGTCTCTTAGATGCTGCACCCGGGGGAGTCGACAACATTTTCTCCAACCAGACAGATCCTGGAGTGGTCAGATGTGGAAGTGGGAAGTCGAGCTACAGTTTTCAACCTGACACAGGAAAACAAAAACCCGAAACATTCCTTTATTGTATTCACTGAAGTCCCTTCTCCTCTGTGTTGTTTACTGTCGACCACTCACCTCTGTCTCAGTTCTGGAACCAGCTGATGACGTAGGAGCACAGACCATGGAAGCTCTTCCAGCAGTACTCTGTGGCCAGTCGGGAAGAACCGGATTCCGGCTGCTCTGAAGGACGAGTGGTGTTGGACTTCACAGGCTTGGGGGTGGTTGTCTTAACCCTGGGGGCTTTTCCTGGCTTGACAGGCTGACTGGCCTCGGTCTTGACCGGTTTGGAAGCGTCGACGGGCTTGACCTGAGCTGGCTGCACTGGTTTGCGCGGCTCTGGCAGAGGCTTCGAGGGTTTGGGGCTGGTGGTCTTGGGCCAGGAGGACAGGAAGGTCATGTGGACCTCGTCTGGGTATTTCTTGCACATCTGTTGGCGGTAGACTTTGGCTCCCTGGCAGGCGTGACTCACCTTTCTCAGCTCCCACATCATCTGGGTGAAGTAGTGTCGAGGGTTGTTGTTGTACGGGCGACACAAGTTGGGTTTTCCCTGAAAGTCGCAGTAGTAGGAACGTCCTGGAGTCTGGCCCTGGCTCGGGCCTTTACAGGAGACGCGCAGACGGGTGTAGTCGGCAGCTCCGGACACCACCATGGTACAGGCGTCCTTTGACTTGGTGTTGAATCTGATGGGCTCATCCCAGACGCCACGCTGCTGCTGCTGCTGCTGCGGCTGCTGCTGCTGTTTGTTGTCACTGCTGCCGTTGTTGGTCTGAGCCTTTGACATGCAAAGAATTGCTGCCATGACGAGCAGCGATGCTCTCACCGTCAGCCTCATGGTGGTTATGGATGGATGTGGGTCTGGGTTGATGTGTCAAGGTCAACGTGTGCAAGGGCAGGAGACATTCGGGGGTGAATTTATAAAGCTGGAGCTCACAAAGAGAGTATTATTCAGGTGAGCTGCAGGAAACAAACTCCTCCCACCCCACGCCCCCTCCATACCACACACACTCACACACACACATATACACACACAGGAGTTCAAGAGTGATGGGTGGGTTGGTGGGAAGGAGTGGAAGAACATAAACTAAAGGAGGAAATGGGGACGGGGTCTGTGGGTCTGTTGGACCCTGACGTCTGAGCTGAAGGAGGCTTCACACACACAGCCAAAATGTTGAGGTGTAACATTATATAATTTCACACAGAAGGCTCTTTTACTGCACTTGACAAGGAGCGGAGGAGATTTAGAAGGAGGAGGAGCGACGTGAGGGGTCCGGAGCCAAACTGCTTCCTGCAGGTATTGGCCCCGGTGCAAAATGTACAACTTGTAAAATTCAAATTTTTTTATATTAGTCCAATGACGCAAAAGTTAGTCTCGCAAGGAAGTGTTGTTTATCTGCAACTCCACACAGAGCCTGGAGATTTAAAGTACAAACACAAAGGTCAAAGAGTACAAGTTTATCTCTGGGGGGATGTTTAATGTGGTAACGTAAAGCTATACTGTACCGTACGTTTCTTAATAAAGGAGCACCCGCTTTGTTTTAAAACCTAAGTGATTTCCTCAGTTTCCTATCACTCTGTATATACACTGTATTTTCCGGACTATAGGTGGCACCGTCTTCATCCTTTGACTGGGTTTGCGACTTATACTCAGGTGTAACTTGTATATTCAAATATATAATTCCACGTATTATTATTATTATATTATTATATTGTTAATTTCACATTGACAGCCGCTAGAGGGCACTGGTGCGATTTATACTCCAGAGTGACTTATAGTCCAGAAAATACAGTGTGTGTATATAATTATTTTACACATGAACCACATACTGGGTGTGAGTTGTGTGATGAATTTTTAAACATCCACTGAATGAACATCGTGATTTCGTTTTTTTTTTTCAAGCTGATGACTGCAAGTTTCATGTTTTTACTTTGCAACCATAGCATGAAAACCAGACGGCCACGTCCATTTGTTCTGTAATGTCTATGTTTGGGAGTAGAGTTAGAAACCAAATGTTGCTGAACAGAAAAACAGACATCGACTTAAAAGAGACCTACAGTACATATTCCATCAGAAGCAGAGCCAGGAATAAGAGAACACGTGTGTGTGTGTGTGTGTGTGACTGCACACACATCAGTTCAGGAACTTTATTTGTATAGCCACCGATCTCTTTTGGAAGAGAAAAACTTTCTCAGTGAAGGACATCTGGAACATCTGTGTCACACTGGTGGGACCACAGCCGGGACCGTCATCACGTCTTCTTTAAATCTCTCTGTCCAATCAGAGCTCAGCCTTTTCAGTTGCCGTGTGTGCATTTTCTTCAGACCTACATGTTACATAAATGTTCCTGGCTGTTCAGACATCCTCTGAGCTCCAACGACAGCTGGTTCCACTTGTTGAAATGAGTAACGACGCGAAACAAACTTCATGGAAGAAAAGCAATGAAGACATTGAACGATTAAACATTTTTTATTCGTCTCCTCAACACAAAATCCATTTTTCTATGTATAAACAGGTGAAGCTGTGTGTGTGAGTGTGTGTGTGAGTGTGTCCTGTTTGGTCCCTGAAATCACAATGATGTCCATGAGAAACTGTATAAAGATGGTGTGTGTTTTTGCTTTTTCTTCCATAGCTCTGCACTCAATTTGGTGTCCAATATTTTACGTTACTTTCCAATCAAAAAAAAAAAAAAAATCAAAACGTTTTTGATTCTTAAAACAATGTCCCATGATTGTCCATAAAAATATTCAAACGGTTACAAGAAAAGCTAGCTCTACTTACTCTTTGAAACAGGTCAAGGTGAAGCTAACCAACTAGTTTGTGACAATTACGACAGAAATGGCAGCTTCAGGAACCAATTTCATATTTTTAAATTGGCAGCGTGATGTCATTATGAGGACTGGAGTCTTGTCATCAAACCTCTGGCAACAGAGTGAAAAGTGTGTATTTTTTAAAAACATAAATTTAAGATGTTTACTCAGGGCAAACTTGAGGAGTTGAAGTGCTGCGAGCTAAATGTTAAATATTCACCAAGCAGATCTCAGTGCTGCGGGCTAAATGTTAAATATTCACCAAGCAGAGACGACAAAACACGGTCAAGAGCTATGACTACAGAAAAAACTACATGGATCTTTATAAAACAAACATTAACAAAATGTATAAAACTTTCAGAAGTTTTTGAAAGTGTAAAAAAATGTACAAGTTCCACAGAGTTCCAGTGAATACTGAAAATACTGAAAGTACAAATTCATTTTCTACGTGTTCCACTAACTAAGCAGAAACTGCCTACGATTCTCTGTATCAGGGTAAAGTACTGTACAGTCGGCTCTTTCTTCTTGTTGGACGCTGGTGTGGGTGTGCGGGGGCTAAATGACAGTTGCTGGCAGTGAAAGTCCTAGTTAAACGGCTCGACACACACTTTTTCATTCTTCCCTTTTGAATTTGGAATCATTAAAAGTTCTTGTTTGAAAACGTCACTGTTAAGAATCCCTGAAAACAGACAAGGTCGATGTCAGAAGTCAAAAACACAAAGTAAAAAATGTAGGAAGCTAAAAAGCTATTTGATCTATTACCCTGAGCTAACAGGCTAATTGGGAGCAGGTTCTAAAGACACACATTACGTGATATAAATATCTGCTACTGAACCCACCTCCATGTTACACTGGACCTTTATGTTGTGTTTTTGTACTACATAGGAATGACAAAAATAAAACAAGGCAGAACTCACAACAGGCTCAGAGCTCAGTTCCAGTTCTCTTGTCCACTGTGGGAAAATAATAATAATACAAAAATTCAGAATTGTATTTATGAAGAACTACATTCTACAAAATACTTTCCTACAATACTACAATTTATATCCACCAGTACGTATTGCGATACTATAGATGCAGTGATATATTGAGGTTTTTTTTTTATTTGTAATTGCTAAAGAAGAAATGAAAGCAAAATAAAATGAAGCAAAGGCATGAATATTTTCAGGTTAATTGTTAATAAAAAAAAATCAATAAAGTACTGCAGAATATCAATACATTGAAATATCGCAATATTACACCCCTAATTAATAAGTACAGTGAGAACAACTGCTTTGTTGAGTGACACACAGTGAGAGTGAGTGTCCAGGTGATGGACAAAAGTCAAAGAACCAAAAATGGAAGAAACACTGATGTGAAAGTAGTATTAGGTGGTAGTTGTAGTAAAGTAGTAGTAGTAGTAGTGGTAGTAGTAGTAGTAGTGGTGGTGGTAAGAAGAAAGAAGGTGAAACACCGACCACATCCTCGTGGCTTAAAGTCAGACCAGTGATGGTTGGAGAATGTTAGGAAGTGAACTTCAGCTGGAGGACGGTTAGTGGACAGGGTTTTGTCGTTACCTCTTCAAAAGGCAGGACATTCCTGCAGGTCACCAATCGTAGTCAATCGGGGGGGCAGAGGCCCGAGGGAACCGGACCAGTGTGTCAGGATATGGGGAGCTGAACCAGCAAATGCAAGGAATACTTCATAAGTATGGACTCTTGGAAAACTGTGGTGTGTAAATATGAAGTCGTGCTGTTTCTGTAAAGAGTTCCTGGATTAGCTCCTCAGTGCAAGAGCGAGCAGAGATAGAGATTACAGAACTTATTAACGATGGATGAGGAGAGCAAGAAAAGAGTGACAGGACTGAAGAAAGAAAGGAGAGAAAGGAACAAGAATCCATGGAAAGAGACGTGATGTCACGACGGTGATTAAGATTCTTTACAGGAGAGTGGACAGGAGGAAGAGAACAAGAGTTTTAAAGTGGAGCCAACTGTGGGTCAGTGAAGCTGGAGGAGTGTGAAATAATGACAGAGGAGAAGAAGCCGCTGATTTTGGATGAAATGACTTGAAGATGAAAGTGGTCACAGGTCTGTGGTGAATGATGATGGGTTTTTCACCCGGTATGTGCATGCCCCGACCGCCCCTTGAAGCATTACCCCCCCCCCCCAACACACAATCTCACACACACACAGTCCAAAAGCATACAGAATTAGTTTGTATGTTAATGTTCACTCTTTAATGACCATATGTGCAGATATGAGTGTGAATAGTTGTCATTGTTGGACTGGTCCAGGGTGCACCCCCGTCTCACTTAATGTCTGTAATTGACTCCAGACCCCACCCCTCCACCCCGACCCCCCCGGGACCATGACATTAAAGCAGTAGACGATGAATGAATGAAATGATTTTTAGCTAAAGTAAAACAGGGGAGCGGTCTTTTCACCTCTCTTTATCTTCATGTTCTGAATGTGTTCTGTGTGTGTTTTTGTACTCACTCTTCAAAGACGTCCTCTGTGTCCATCCTTCTGTAGAACTTGGACAGTTTGACAGAGAAGATGATGCTGGGGATCATGAAGATGCAGCTGGCTCCCAGACCGAACCAGAACGTGTTCTAAAACAGAGAACAAGCAGCTCCTCACTTTTCACATTTTTTTCTGGATGAAAAATAATAAGTATTTCTTTCTAATCAATAATTATTATTCCAGGTGGAGGTTTCTGACATTTTCCACATTTTTTATTATTAATCACAAATCAAAACAGGTTTCAAACACACAAATTCCATAGCATGAAAAGTTGTTATGCTAAAAATGTTAATTTATCATAACTAATCATGATTAATCCACAGCTACCCTCTGATTACACTGAAAGTTTTAATTCTTTTACAGCCCTGTTCTTTATTTAAAAAAGTAAAAACTTTGCTACACCGATGGATTAACCCTCAGCTGCCAAAGTGTTTAAAAAGCTTTAAATCTGACACTACTAATGGACTTCAGGACAGAACTGCAGCGCTTTGGGTTTTTGCTGCTTCAAAATAGTTTCAAACATCAGGTAAATGTGAGACAGAAAGCAAACACTGAGCAGGAAATACAGGAACAAACTCATGCAGTATATAAACCTGCAGCAGCTACAGGAAGTGCCGAAGGACTGATATAAATTCTGACTGTTTACATTAGTCACAGTCTGTGGGTTTGACTCTGCGCTTTTATTAAACTCCCAGAACCGCATCATGTGTGACACACAGCTGCAGGTGAAACACTGAAGGATCTATGTTCATGTTTCATGTCTGAGAGGACGGGCTGTTCCCAAACATGCTGCTGCTACACACACACACACTCTCACACACACACTTACCACTGAGTCGACCACAAAGCTGCACGCCACGATCTCCATGCTGTCCACAACGTTACTGATGGGTTTACACTGAGCCACCTCTCCCATCAACTGTGAGGAAATCACACACGACGGACTTCATTTACAGTTGAGGTCAAAATTATTAGTTCCATAAAACACGTCATGTTTTTATACAGGGCAATGAATGTTATCGCAGCATTTATGACTGTATTTGGACAGTGCAATAAACCACCAATTAAAACAGACTTCTGACCAATCACATCTGTGTGTATTGGATCCATGTGAACAAACAAATTTGTAAAACATACTCACAGAGTTTTTGACCCACTCTGTGTACTGTGTGAAGTATCCCACCAAAGTCTGCATGTAGCCCTTTGTTTCCTACAGTCAGAGAAAGAACAATGTTATGAACAGGAGTTTTCATTGGTTTGAGTCTATGGTGAAATTCTGAAAACCATGTTACAGTTTACTAATGTCCTGCTTTTAATTTATATGAAAACAACATTTAAAACAACGTAACGTCACTGTTCACAGTTGCGTGAGGCCAGTCCTACCTGCTTGACCACATGTGAGGCATTATGAACGATGAGGTACTCTGCTGCGTCGATGGCACTCAGGATATTATTGACTTTGACCTGAGAGACGGAGGAATATTTATTTACACTGGATTCTTATTGTGGTGTTTACTCTGATTTTGTTTTTTAAACGTATGTTTTCTCACAGGAAGGTCGTTGGACATCTTCTGCAGCTGCTTTATACTCTGACTGAGTGTATTCTGAAAGAGTAAACACACACAAACTTGCTAAATAGAACATAACATGGATGTAAAGGCCTGGTCGGTGACAAAGGTTAAAGGTGAGGCTGCAAAAACAGACTAGAAGTAGCTGGGCAGAATTACTTAGAATGTTTAATTAAATATTTAATTTTAGAAAATCATTAAAATGAATAATCCTATTTAGTGGGAAACTGATGTTAGTGCTTATGAAGGTAATTACACATGTGATTCTCTTAAATCTTCAGATCTTCCGTTGTGCTTTAAACTGTATTTACATCTAAATGTGATTATTATTTATATATATGTACATATATTTACCTCTGAATCCGTTCCGTTTCTATATCTGCTGCCTCACTATTGCAACCATTAGTTGTTGTTTTCATTTCTTACAGCGAGAACTGGTAAGGACTACCCCATCTACACACACATCACATCTCAATGTCCCAACATCAACCACGGTGCTACTACAAACATGGACAGCCGTCGGTGTGTGTCGACGGCAGCTTACCCGCGCTCTGACGTATTTCTAGCACCAATAAATTAAAGACAAGGATGAAAAAAAAACACAACAAAAAAAACAAACAATAAAAATAATGACAAACTTGTATATTTATGAATGTGTAATGTAGAATAAAAGCAAACTATTTTTATGTTCTAGGTGTAAATGTTTAGGGATTTTTTTTCATAATTGTTTGTATCTAGGTTTTATCTCATGGTATATTTCTTTTATATGTACCGTTGCTTGTTCCATGGGTTCCACCAGGTCTCTGTGTATCTGCCTGATGCTGCTGGCGTGTCCTCTCAGTGCATTTTCCAGAGCACCACGTGGCTGTGAACACAAACCATGAAAAATAAAGAGCTGGGTCGCTCCTACTCTCTGACACAATCACCGAGTCTTTTCTCCCAAATCCTTCTGCTCAGTCCCTTCACCTAACTATATATGTTTATGCTGTAAGGGTCAGTGTTCAGACTCAATGGGTGGTTTGTTCACTGCAGACTGGGAGCAAATCATTATCCAAACAGCGTGTCGGACTTTTACCTATAATGACTTTTCTCTGCCAATAAGTATATCACTTATTCATTTTCTTATTCAAAGGGGTGAGACCTGAGAGAATGCTTTATTATATTTTTTTTTTTAAAAGACAAATCACATGAACGACAATCAAAAATTAAATTGATAAAATTCTATATAGTAGGTTTAATTGTACATAGAAGCCACGGTTCGATAAGTATCTCGATATTGACGCCATGTTCGGTACCTAGTCGGTGCAGAATGAGTGAATGTGAGTTATCTTTTTACATTTATAAACAAGTAGCTACAAACGTTCACAAACATGCTGTTCACAGAAATAGTTCACTCAAATCTCATGGCAAATATTCAGGTTGTCAAATAAACAAATATAAGAAATATAAACACAAACGTCTTTCTGGTACCAGTCGTACCCAAAGTCGTGTCTTACCAGCGGCGTGGCCAACGTTAACGTAACAATAACGACACGTTTTCTTTGGCTCCACTGGTACTGTAGTTAGCTGTCACACCTGGAGCTGGGAAATATCGCTTCCGTTCCCCGTACGAGGTTCATGTTTGCTAACCGCTAATTAACGGTAACTTGCTGGAAGTAGTTGAATGACTGACGCGAGTCGCAGTTTCGTCCCGTAACAGTTGTGTTCCGGATATATTAAAAAATTAGTTCTGCATCGAAAGGTTTATAATACAAGTTTACACACGTGTACCGAACTATTTAAAATCTCTCGATTTATAATTATATAATGATAGTTTAAATTATATTGACAATTATAATTCTACCCGCAAGTTACAGTAAGACTCACCAGTTGGTCAGCCCGAGCCTCCAGGTCTACGGAGAAGGTCAGGAGGTCCACGTCAGTGACTCCTTTATTTACCTATTTACAATGAGGCGTTCAATGACCTTCAGCTTTAAAACCACATTCACTCCGGCTTCTATCTTAGTTTCAGCAATCTACCTCGGCCAGGTACGCCTCGTAGTCGATCTGTCCAATTCCAGAGTTGGCAAAGTTGATGAGGTTGTCTCTGCCGGCCTGCTCCAGAAGAGTGATGTCCTGCAGGTTGACCTGAACACCGTCAAACAGTTTACCCAGGTCCTTGTTGTACTGTAGTGGGACACAGACAAACACTCACTGGTGACCTTGATGAAACTCATGAAACTAACCAACAACTTCACCCGCTGAATTAAGTGACACCTACTGCAGTTTGGTTGAGAAATGAGTTGATGTTGAACATGGTCTCCAGCTGCAGGGCGTGGTACAGTCCGTTGTTGTCAAAGCACTCCCTTCAACACAGACACAGCACAATAATACTGATCATTTTTAGAAATTATAATGTAAAAATCAAACCTTTTTTTGTGTTCTGTTTACCTGTACATGCTTCCCACAGTCAGGTCAATGTTTGGATTTTGAAACAGCATCCCAGGGAGGAAGTTCTTCTTGGCAGGGTGCACCATGTACGGTGTATCTATAATCTGGACACAAACACAGTCCCTTCAGTCACACTGTCCAAGTTTAGAAAAGAAGACAACTCAAGATGGAGAGACAGTTTCTACCCAGTACCTGGAAGAGCTGCCTGTTAGACAAAGATTTTAAAAAAGACACCTCAAGATGGAGAGACAGTTTCTACTCAGTACCTGGAAGAGCTGCCTGTTAGACAGTGGTTCACACAGCAGTTTCTCTATGTTGCCACTGGCAACAAACAAGGTGGTAACGGCACTCATCAGGATCCAGCAAAATATGAAGGAGAAGCCCACTCCTCTGTGGGTGTGGGAGAGAGAAGGATCTTGAACATCTATTATGAAACATTACTGTCTTCTGCCATACACATTATCTTTATTTATTTATCTGTACAAATCACTGTATGAGTATGCGATTAATTAAATGAGCTGCAATGCTGCCATCTAGTGATCTTTGCTTTATCATACAGCCATTTATCCCCAAAACTAGTTTTAGGGCACACATCATCTGGCAAAACCCAGACATTGCGTCGGGTTTTCATTATCAGAAGGAAAAACGATACGATGTTATCGGACATCCCTAAGATATATATATACGTATATGACTTACAATACATCAACAGTGAATACTACATACAACTTTCTATTTGTCTCAAATGACTGGTGTGTGAAAAAATTGTGCATAAATGAAATAAATTTATTTTTATTCTAATAACAGCCTCTTAAAGATAAAATACGACCTTGTAGTTTTTTATTCCACCTACGCCATTAGCAGGTTGCCGCCTGTGTTTGACAGACATCCTCTAGTTGTTGGTGACGCTTGCTTGTCGTAGCCACAGGTTCCACACAGCAGCCCCAGACAGTTGAAGGCCAGGACGAGGATGACCATGCAGAGAGCTGCCACGCAGCCTATCCACCTGTGACACACACACACACACACACACGCATATCGCTTAGAAAGATAGCAAAAGCTTATTCCAACCATAACCTTATTTAAACAAGAGGAACCTAGAAATAACCCACACTGTTGCCTTGACATTCACGTTAGATTTCTTTCCCCCTGTTCTGATTATTTTGTGTCAACAGAAACAAAGACAAACCTGTAGAAATCAATCTGGTCAATCTGCGGGTAATAGGACTCGATCTTCTTCTGTCCCTCGGTGAGGAAAATGGTGAAATTGGTCAGAGAGGGTTCCACAGGGAACATCTTGGCGAAGTTTGTGATCTCAGCACCGATCTTGTCAAGCATTCCTTTCACTCCTACGAAAACACACAAAAACCCATTGAGGAGCAGATAAACACACTAGAAACAAAAGCCAGTGCGATTATGTTGACAAGAGGACACGCTGGTTAGATGTTACGGACGTAAAGTTTCAGACACAAAAGAGAACTTACGAGGCAGAGCTACGGTTTCATTATCCAACAGCATGCAATGAAAGTGAGAGAAAGGATGAAAAGGTGAAAACTCTACTGACAAGATTGAATCATAATTAATCATGGTACTTGTGTGTATTTAGAATATACACTACAGTACCTGCAACAATGTTTTTCGTTTGCTCTCTAACCAGTCGTGGTGTGTCATTAAAAGATGAGTAACCCTGTGAAGAAAGGAAATAAATATAAACTAAATATATATATACGTATATATATGTATACATATATATATAGACTCAAAATAACATATTCATATTGCTGAAAGCTGTTTAACCTCTGTAGGTGATAATAGGTCAGTAAGGTCATGGTGTACAGGAGACACAAACGTACCTTTTGCACAACGTTGCTCAGATCAGTTTTCAGCAGTGTGTCTACGTTCTCTATGGCGTGGTTGATATTTGGCAGCTGAACATCGTGAATTGAATATGGAAACAGGAAAAGGGAAGTTATTTAAAACACTCAAAACTATGTTTTAAACAGCAGTTCCTTCTTTATATCTTTGGTACCTTCAGATAATTTGCACTGATTCCTAGCTGGGACAGTGTGGCTCGGATGGCGTTACAGGTTGGAGAGACCGCTCCGTTGGTGCAGGCTGGGTCAGACAAAGTGTTGGTCAGTGACGCTCGCTCCGCTGATAGTGTGCCCTGAAGTTTTCCTGTGCCCTCCTGAAGGACCTCCAGTGAGGTGCTGACACTCTCCAGCGCCTCCTTGGTCTCCCTCATGGCTATAGAAAAACACATATGAGAGATAGATCTGAGGAAATGTATTTATTTTTGACTATCTCAAAGACTATATTTAACAATGTAAATACAGAACATACATCACACGACTATCAATAATAACCAGAAAGACACAGAAAGGTCACAGTCACAGTCGTAACAATCCACGAAGAAAGAAAACAGGAAGAATCATGACTTTGAATTTTATTTAATTTATTTCTAACACTTTTCAACCCACAATTCCACAAACTACGTCACGAGCACAGCACCGATCACCGACTGTGATTACCTTTGACTGCATTCTCAACTTTGCCTTCAAACACAAATATGTGAGAAAAGTAAAAAAGGAAATAACATTAAAAACATTCAGAAATCTGTCCTAAAAACATCTGAAGAATTAGTAGGTCGAACACAGTTGTATGATTTAAAAACAAAACTTTGTAATATAAGCCAATAGAAATTCTAAAAACTCATAATCAAATTTACTTGATTACTAATCGTTACCTTTCTCAAAATGACACCATGAGTATGATGCAACTGTAAAAAGTATAAATTATATAAATTTAAGTATAAATTGGCTAATATACGGGCCCTTGCTGTTGTATTTTAATTTTGTTTATACTGATAAAAAATTGTTTTTATTTAGATTCGATGAGGTTTATTAGTAGAGAGTAGACAGAGCTTCTGCTCGTGAAGTTAAATACTACATTACTTTGGGCTAGTATAAGTATACTACCTCCTGCCATGCGCAGGGCAGTATCCAGTGATGGAACCACCTCTTTCTCCAGCTGACTGTGGATCCTTCCACCCAACACTGCCCCGATGTCTGTGGAAAACAAGAAAAAAACGCACAGAGTTTTTCAGACATAACCTCTAGTCTGACCCTTAGTACTGCGACCTGTACTGAATGGAGACAGAGCTGGATTGGACTTACTGTCCAGGTCTGAGAGGACTTTGTTCTTTGCCGTGGTGTACTGGGCTGTCAGGTATTCAATTTGCTGCGTTGAGGACAAATAAACAGCCAGAGGAGTATTAAAAAAAATCCAGTATTACATTATCTACTGTGTGTGCAACTGTGCGTACTGAAGGTGTGTTGTTGGCAAATGTCTTCAGGTCTCGAATGTTGGTGTTGATGAGACGACGAGTGCTTTTGATGTGAGTGCTGATGTTATGGTTCGCACTGTAGGCAACACAGACTCCCAGTCTGAAAGAAAGAGAGAAAGACGAAGAGAAAGTGAGAGCGAGAATCAAGCACCGTCGATAACGCTTCCGTCTTTTACCAGCAGAGGGCAGCATTGCAACAATTCAATCTTTTTTTGCCGAATGGAAAATAAAGCTCAGCCATCAATTCCCACATTTCATTGTGTCACAAATCATGGCCCAACTTAAAAACTTTAAAATTAAATGTTGTCTTCCCAAGTAGTGATATGTATGTGATTATAAATAAATAATAATAATTTAAAAAAAACATTCGTTTTACTGGATTAACTATGGATTTGCATTTCAGGTGCGTTACTGCCACCTACTGGGTCTGTTTTACCCGACATAACCCATTCTGAAGGTATAGAAGTTATTTCACCGTGTACCTACAGTAACAGTTAAGAAACAGAAAAATAAAAAAACAGAAAACAGTGAAAGACGACCTACATGATGAAGATGGTACAACAGAAAACAGTGAAAAAAACATGGAACTCAAAGACGACCTACATGATGAAGATGGTGGAAGCGATGAGAGAGGCCGTGTAGAAACCCCTCTGACAGTCGGCGTTCTTCCTCTGCCTCTGGTGCATCTCACCCCCACAGTTCTCACAACATCGACACATGCAGAAAAGTGTGCCTATCAGGGGGGTGAGGACCACCACCAGAAGGCCAATGGAGGCACATATGAGGAATCCAGCCTCATAGTGGATCCACTGAAGGAGGAGAGGAAGCACAGGGTTCGTTATTAATGCTCTAACAAATAATTATTGATATATATATGTGTATAAACATAAGAGTAATACGGGTGTAAATAATTTGTAACATCTTTATGGTTGATGGATTTACCTGTAGCAACAGAACAACGTTTTCTGGCTGAAACACCACACACACACAAACAAAACAAAAAAATAAACAGAAACAAAATTATGTCAATTGGATCAGAGATTATTAGACATTATAAATTATGAAAGTCTTTTATTAGTCCTAATTTTGTAATTATTTTTATTATTTATTTATCAGTGGTAAATACGAACTTTGTAACATCTTCCATAACATATCAAACATACCTTTCTCCATTCCTCTAAAACTTTGTAACATCTTCCATCAAACATACCTTTCTCCATTCCTCTAGTTTAATTCCTCCCATGTTTTGCTGAATGACTTTAACAATCAGTTCTGAAATTTAAAAAAAACAATCACGTCATATAAACTAGTATTTATTGTACAGTATATCCATCGGTTTCTGTCTGCATTTTCTTATGACATTTGTATTCCTTCACATTCATCTGTAACACATATCAACACATCCTGTCATGAAACAAAAGTTCACTTGTCTGGTCTACGGCCACATCAGCATGTAGTTGAGTTTCTGTCAGAGATGAAGAGCTGGTCTGTTGACCGACAGTACTGCACTAATCCACAGTGGTGTCACGGCTGTCCAGGCCAGTTGTTTGTTTATTTGGGTCAACAGCACTGACCCTTCCTTGTTGTTTCTCCTCAGCCTGACTGGATATTTAACACATTCTCTCACAAACGTTCACACTAATACAACCAGAGAAAGACACAGAAAGACCAAGTGCAATCCTGATCCTATACCTGAAGTGTGTGTGAATAAAACAAGGCTGCAAATAAACATTGTTTATTTTTTTCTTCCACTCAATCTTCTCAGATATCTCTTAAATCAGATACAAATGAAACATAGTTTGTTATTGAGCATTCATTGCCAGTGCCCCTGACTAAAGTAATTGAAAACACAAATAGAGAACAAACAGTGACAGAGACGCTGCCTTCTGCTCAGACATTCACTGTCCTAATTTGAGTTTAAAAATAGGAAAGATTAATTGCACTTAATCTGTTCCAAACCACGTTGTTTCATTTCTAAACAAGGTGAACGTCTATTACTGTCTACACTGGGAGGTGCACTTCCCCTGAAGTCTATTTATAATAATAATCAACACATTAATGATGGAAAGAACAACAAAATATTTATTACATTTACATGAACAGACTAGGGGTAAGATTTCATTTGCTGGTGAGTCACTGCTTCACTGAAGCACAAAGCTTTGTGGGATATTAAACCAAACAGTAATATTGTCAAAACTTCCAGCCATGAATTCATGAATTCCTATATTCATCAAGGTTTAGAAATTGGTTTGTTAAAGTTACATTTTTTTAAGTTTTAAATGAGTTCATAGCACCATCTGCAGGGGAGATGGGGAGCCACATGTTCCCTGTTTTATAAATGCGTGTTTACAGAGGCTTTGTGTCCATGTTATTTCAGGTGAAACCAACAGTACCGTTCCTCAGACTGTCATGTAGGGTGAAGACATCTCTCTGAACATGCGGCACCAGAGCACGTCTGATACCACCTGTTGTAGCTCAGCCTCTTAGTTAGCATTAGCCACAGAGGGCAGTTAAGCTTACACAGCTTAGCTCAGTGACCCAGTAAAGGAGGCACAGGAGCAGCAAATGAGGGGAAAGGAGTGAATGTGAGGAGGTAAAGTAAATGTTGTTGTTAGTGCTGAAGGAAACATCTCTGTCACTAAAAGAAGCATCTGGACACTTTGTCCACCAAAGTTTAGATCAACTTTTTAAAGCTGCCACTTATCTTGGAAAATTCTTTTCACTTTCTATTTTCTAAAAAAAATAAAAATCCAAATTAGTAAAACAAGTCATCCTGTCAGGGTGAGATGCACATCATTAGCACCAAAACATAAATCACTGCCAATAGTTTGCTGCTAAGTCAAAAATTACAACCCTCTTACTGTCATGTGTAAAAATAGACCAACACAATCCTCTGTTTGGACCTGCTCTGGGAGAGATTACCGGAAGGCCTTACGCAACCTTACGCAAACAAGCATCGCTGCTGCTTTTTACCTACTCAAAGGTTAATTTGTGACTGTGGGTAAGAAGGGCGTAGCTTTGGTAGTTGGCCACCAGGGCACAGCACTAGTGTGAGCAACACATAAGTAAGTTATGACACAACCACAGACTCTAAAAACCTCAACCTTCGACAAAAAACAAGGTGTTAAATTTAATTCTGTATTAAAATCACCACCAAATCTAAACATCTTTTCTTTAGGCCATATCCTACCAGCCAGCTACAAGACTTATTCTCATGTCAGTAACATGAAGTCAACAGCTACAAGACTTGTGTTATTCTCATGTCAGTAACATGAAGTCACACAACAGCTTGTTTCCAGAGAACTGCTGTGACGGTGCTGTCCATGGTGCTGACACACAGGCCACTGAAATATTCTTTTCTCTAAAGAACAATTACTCGTAACAGAACTTCAATATTTTCTACCTGATATCATATTGATATTTGCATATTTTTTGGAGCAAAAATGTCTAAAGCTACAACTGCCTCTTTTTGGAGCTAATTATTATTAGGCAAAAATGTCTAAAGCTACAACTGCCTTAGCATGTTGAAAAAGAAGAATTGAACAGTTACTTATGTTATTGCTACTACACAACACCGTGTACTTCATATACTTCTGATATACTTTTATGTCTTCAAGAATAACAACATCGAAGGCATCAGTTAAATATTATTATTATTGTTATTAGTAGTAGTATTATAAATATCAACTACCCTTTATTATCTGATGCCAACCATTCAGTGGTAAAACAATTCCATCTTTAGTGATCTCATAAAAGTTCATTTTAAAGCGTAGACATCCTGGCAGCTGGAAACAACACTTCCATGTAGGGTTTCAGCTGAACTTGAACGATCATCACAGCCTGGAAACAACACTTCCATGTAGGGTTTCTCAGAAATCAGCTTAGACTGGGACCCAGATGGGTTTGTTGACATGTGTCATTGAGGCCCATTGCCAAGACTGTGTATTTGTGTTAAGAACAACTGGTGACCACACGTGACCCACAGAATTCAACTAGTTCAACTCTCATCCTGAATCTCGTCCAATTTAAAATGACGCCCACGTAGAGTGGTGATGTTGGCTGTGTCCCACACACGACACAGGATGCGTAAGAGTTGACATGACATCCAGGTTGTACCGCCTTCCTGTGCGTGTGTGTGTGTGTGTGTGAGACAGTGACTCACTGTGTGAAGTCCCTCTCACAGGAGCAGCATATGGTGCAGAGGATTAAGGTATTACGCAGAGAGAAAGCCTCTTCCAATCGCCGATCTGCTAATTGATTACCGAGGCAGCAGCCCTAACCCTGAACACCAAAATGGCAGCAACTTAAGTCCTTCAATCCTCCCCATGTGACACACAAAACACAATCAAACCACTATTAGCTGCGTGTAGCTTTATATATATCTCACTGGGTGTTTGTACTACACCAAAGGAAACCAAAGAGCAACTCTCTACCTTGGTCCCATTGATCAGGATCAGGAAGACAGAACTGCTGTACACATTTGTCTCCCTTGGAAACAGGGAGACATCCTAATCTCATGCAACACATTTCTGACTTCTGGACTCTGGAAGTTTCTGACAAGTCTAAGTTCTGTTTCACATTGATTTGGCCAAAAACGCATCAGACTCTCAAAGAGGAAATTAGACATTTCTACAGATTGTTTTTACAAACAGGAGGTACAGCCTAAAAATGAACAGTTTCAGATGCAAATATTTGTCGTGGTACCTCCATAGTCTTGTTATTGAGAGTGATAAACACCAACTATTGCAGTAGGAGAGTTAGGATTTACCAAAAAAAAAAAAAAAGAGAGAGCGCAGCACCAATGGATTGGTAATCAGGGATATGTTAGCTAACTACTTTAAAATAAATTAGGATTTGTTTTTAACTTTGATAATGTGTTCTTGGTTTTTGGACTGTGTTCTGTTGAACTGATGAACTACTACAACTACTACTGATTATCCTTCAATGTGTTGACGTAAACACTATTATTATGTTGAAATATACACATTGTTTTGCATCTTACGAATGTGTAATTACCACAGAGTGATACCAGTTGGCATTAAATGAGATGGAATTTAAGGAATCACATTTACATTACTTACCATACACTCAGAGTATTTTGAGTATTTTTAATCTCAGGTCACATACATTGTTCGAGCAAAGCTAAAATGACGTTGAGATTTTTAAAGTCAAATACAATTTAACTAATTCTAAATTATTCGTTTAAACGATTGAAGATATGAGACAAATCCTGGGAATGAGAAACAAAACACAACATGAAGTAGTGGGTGGTTTTTAGTACCGGACTAATCGACGATCATATAAAACAGTGGGATTACGGGGCTTATAGGACAGTAACCTCACCTTTGGGGAAGGGATTCGGCTGAACAACGTAGAGAAAAGCGTGGACCATGTGGAAAAGAATTCCTATGGGTCCTGGTTCGTAGTAGGCATGGGTATCATAAACCGCCGCCGGTACAAAGCCAAAGTTCAGGGGCTCCGTCGGCGGAGGAGAGCGCTGTCTCTGCCGGGAGCCCGCCTGGAGCTGCGCCGGGACCGCGTCTCTCTCTGCCGCCTGCTGCCCGCCGCTGGACCCCCAGAAAAGCAGCAGGACGAGACAGCGAGTCCACAACATGTCTCACAACAGTCCAGTTTTATCGAAATATCAAGAAAAAGTTGTAAAAAAAAACCCGAAAAGTTTTACGTTCAGACCTCCAGTCGTTACAACAGACCGGTGGGATTGAAGAGGGGGGAGGACTGACACCTGTCCCTGAGAGAGGACACCTGTCTCTCCGCTAATGTCTCCAGAATCCTGTCCAACACGGAACTTTTTCTCTTAGCATCCGTCAGCTCCTGGTTCCACGGTACGGACTCATAACAGACATTTTCCCCGAACTGGTCGGGTGGACTATCGACGCCGTCTCCGTTGAGTCTTCGTTCGCACTGTTAGCGCGCACCAGCCTGCGCGTTCACGCGGACAACCTGTTAGGCTCGTGCATGCCATCCCTCGCTTTGTGTGTGTTCTTGTTTATATAAGGACGTGGGGACCAGTGATTTTTCAAACCATCGCGTTGACATTTGCAGGACCTACAATCAATTTTAAGGCGATTTTAGGTTGCGGCAGGTTTCAGTTGCAGGAACCGGTAAAATATTAGTACCAGGACCTTTTGGCTCGAAGGTAAGATTTTCCAAAATGAAAGAGATATAAATCCAGCCAAACAGTAATAAAAATAATTACTTGAGTAATGTAGAATATCTAATGGATTTTTTTTCATATAAAAATATAATATGGGATCTGTATTAGTTTCTCCTTAACTGTCTAAAGTCTATTTAAAGGTCACAATAACTGCATCCACACATTTGTTATTTGACAGATACAGTTACAAAAGGCACAGACAGTAAGGAAATACTTAATGGTGTGTGCACCTCATTTACTACACAATGTAACAGCTACTTATCATATAGGATCAAGTGTTGCATTGAGGTGGACACAGTCATTATACTCAGGTCATTGAGAACCTGAATTCTTAAGCTCAGACGTGGAACAGAAAGGCCAGTGAAGGTCGTTCAAGGCCAGGGTGTTTTGACAAGAAAGCTCCAGTTCAGGAAAAAAAGGGGAAATCCCAGAGTTAGGCTAAAAATTAACAACCTGATAAAACCCTGCGTCCCAGCAAAGAGCTTTGAAGTTGAAGATATTTCAACACTCTCTTTCATCTGGTCTCACCATCATCACATTTCTTACGGTCACTCTACATAATCCAATCCTTCCTGTTCTAAAATGACACCAAGAAAAAAAATTACAAATCAGTAATGAAATGTAAGCAACTCATCAGAGATGGATGTAAAACAAAAGAAAAACGTCTTTTGTGTGAGTGTCTGTGACGACAGACGCTCTCTGTGCCCCTCTGTTCCATTCAGGGTAAACAGTGGACGGCACTGTTTGCCTGGCGAACAAAGTCTGAAGTGACTGCCTTCACTGGAACTTTCACTTTTTTTTCATCCTTTAACACAAGCTCACACAGAAACCGTTATAAAATATCTGGTTTTATTCTCCTTTTGTCCCACGAGGAGATGCATTTACAGACGTGTTGTAGAGGAAAAATAAAAACATCCAAAGTCCAATGCATACACCGAGTAGTTAAAGGCTCTCCATGTTTTCTCTCACTCACTCACTCTCCCACAAACACACACAGTTTGAGCCCCAAATGTCAAACCAGTGCAGTTCAGTCACAGCTGAGCACAGTCCTTATTTACTGTATGAATGAAAAGAAAAAACACTAATCAAAAGTATTCTACCGACGGCCTGATTTTGTTTTGTTTGTTGTTTTGTTTTTACAAAAAAGCTTCATAAAGTCCACACCGACGGCCTGATTTTTTTTTTTTTTTAATATTCCACCGATTTTTTTTTTGTTTGTTTTTTACAAAAAAGCTTCATAAAGTCCATCACCTGCATTTGATCATGTTTCACCTTCATTCTTGTCATCTGTTCTTTCTTAACCCTTTGAAATAACCCATATTTGTTTTAGGTAAACCCAGATTAACCCTTTATCAAAATCTTCTCAACTTCTAAAAGTAATAATGGAATTTTAATCCAAAACTTTTTATTCTTTCTTTTTTTTATCTCGCTTTAAGACTTAATTTCAAAATAAGCAATTTGTTCCAGGAAACTGTTAATAAATCTGTAACAATAAAGTTACATTGGTGGAGTTGCATATTGAACAGAGAGTTTTGTTCAAACACATTTGGATGAAGGAATCAGAACTGCATCTTAATCTGAGAAAACTCAAAACTTTGTTCAATGCCTTTTGTTTGAAATAGCGTAAGACGGAATTTCTTTTAAAAAACAAACAATTGAATTATATATATTTATAAAAAATCCCTTCAATTATTTTTTCACAGTTAACAAAAAGTACATGATAATGTCTATTAGCAGGGTAAAATGGTCCCTGTAATAGGTTGTTGTTTAGCACACCTTGGTTTGACATGCACATCTCCACAGAACATTAGAGCTCTGTGCTTTAGTTTACCAGCTAACCAGCCAAACCATAACCAGAAACAACCGTTGGTTAGTGACCCTATATCCGTGTACTTTTGTCTTTTCTGAGGTGCATTTCTTTAACCCATTAACCATCTCACCGTTAAAAAAAAAAAAAAAAAGATTCAATTGATATGAAACTATGACACTACCTGTATCTGCACGCTCAACTGTTTGACCTGGTCTGTCAAATGTGTTTGTAGCGCCACCTACAGAGGGAAAAGAAGTAGTACATTCTCTCTGTTTACAAATACAGAATACAAAAATATTTAGCAGAATACTGTAGACTACATTTCGAATCTTATAAAGTTGGTAGCGCCCCTGGATGACCAGGCAGAAAAAAATGCTTTATCTGTTGAATGTCAGGCTCATGGGCCCTACACATGTTTACAAGTAACCGTTACTACCTTACATAGCGTCTGATGATAATGGTAAAAGTAACAGTAATATGTACTAAAGTGATGCTGGTGTTACACACCATGAATTTAAAGTGAGAGCAGGCTCACTGATGTACTTCACCGAGACGTTTCCTTAATTCACAGTATTTAATTTAACAAAAAAAAGAGGAATATTTGCTTCAATGTCTGCCTTCACAAACAGGCACAGCTTCAGTTATTTCAATGACAGTGAAGTGTTACTCTATACGCTGATGACATTGTTCATTCACTCAGTGACTGAAAACAAAGTCTACAGATTAAATTTGTTGATTTTTTTTTAAGAAAACGGTCCGACAACGTCCGTAAAAATTGGATTTGAAATGTTGTTTTTCATACTTTAGAATTAAAAAAAGTTTTCTTAAAAAAATAAAAAATATGTTTTCTGTTAGATCTAAAAACCAACTCCACCCTTTGATTGTGCTTCTGATCTCACATTAGCACAGCCCGCCTCTCAACTCCTTCTCAACATCTTACACAAACACTTCTTCTTCCGTTGTGCACCGTTCCAGCTGCGTACACCCGTCATCAGTGTGTATTTCTGCGGTTTGCCACGATGAGCATCACATGACTTACAGCCAACTGGAAAATGCCTGACGCAGCTGAACACATCTGTGGGGGGCTTCTGATGCTTGTAGTAACAGCTTTATGCCTTAGCTGGTTTTCTCCAGAATAAATAAATAAATACTTAGGTCAGGTGCCCAAGAATAAGTCCATATGTCTGAGCATGTTCCATGACCCGTGTTTGATCCCTGAACTGTTGCTGTGTTTCCAGGACATCGACTGTTTGTCTGTCTGTTCCCGTGGCCCTCAGTCTATTCTGTTGCCACAGATAGTGAAGCGATCGATCTCCAACAAATCTTTCTTGGGGGTTCTGTTGGTGAGTCCGTCTCCTTCCAGTCCTGTGTCTGTGTTGATGATTTTGTCCTCGTCCTCGCCGTCGGGCGTTGTCAGGAATGTGTCCGAGTCGCTCTTGGGGATCGTGTGTTCAGAGGTCTCTTCTATGGTGGGAAGATGAGCGTTGTCTGATGACACAGATGTTCCTCCTTTGTCTGCAGCTGCTGCTGCTTCTGTTTGTGATGCAGATAGAGGTCATTGTGAGAAGACAAAAAAAAAACAGCATAAAACATCTAATGAAGTACTGATCAATATTCACTGATCTGATCTGATCTGATCAAGCCATCTTCAGCAAATTCTACTTCCTTTACAAAAGCTTCTGTTGTACAGTTTAACCCTGACAGAATATTGGAGGCGAACCGTTACCATGCTGAGGTACTGTGTGCACATGTTTGGCTCGATTAGCTCTGGAGTTCACGCGGCTGGAGACGGCAGACGGCGGGGGGTTGAAGAGCTTCTCCTCCATGTTGGCCTCTTTCACTAACGCACATGAGTTCCCCAGTAGAATGATACTGTTGAGAACTTTAAGAGTTATCATCCTGTTCACAAAAAAAAGGAAAAAAATAATAATTAAAACTTGCAAAACAGAGAGAGACTACAAACAACACACTTGTTGTAATTATATGTTGTTATCATATAATTAACATTCAGCAGAGAACTCTTTATTTACCCCAGGTAAAACAGTAGGACACACATAAAGGAGAGTGAACCCTGGATTTTCACTGAGCTCATCACAACTCTGATCAACTGCCAAAAGCAAACAAAGGCATGAAGTTAGATTTGAACTGTCCACACACACACACAATGTCAACAGCCAAAGTTCATCTTGTTTTTTTTACTTAAAGTGTGACTGACCAGCAGAGCTAAAGGCAGAGGGATGAATCCCATTCTTCTGGACACAGAGTCACTGTAGTCTGTGTAAGCCTGGGGACACAATCAAGTCGTTACTTCTCAAATTCAACTAAATGACAGTATAATATGTACGTCAAAGATTATCTTTGTGACTCACTCAGGGATTACTCAGTCAAGTTAATGAGTCAAATTTGTAGAAATGTGAATCAATATGAATCTGAGACGTGATGAAAATGGGACTGATGCATAGTATATATGCATCAGTCATATATATATATATATATACACTTATATATATGTGTGTGTGTGTGTAATTTTTATAATTTTTATAATTTTTTTGAAACAGTCATGATATGCGTGGATTTACTTACATTCTTTTGACGGCTGCTTACAAGATCAAAAGCAAGGCTAGCTCGGTATTCTCCGTACACCTAGGAAATAACAAAATGTCATTAATTCACTTGTTGAGTTGCTGAAGAAAACAACTATGTTGGTGTTACATATGCAAATATTTTTACAGTAAGAGTTGGATTAAAAATATAATAGGAATGCACTCTAACTCTCAGAGAGAAGACACACATTGTCATTGTGGTTTGTGTGATTAGTGCTGACAGTTTGGAGATAAAGAAGTTAATCTCTTCCTGGGGATTTTGGCAGCCATTATATAACTTTTGTTACCAGCCTTAAGAAAGAAAAAAACAAAGACTGACAGAAGAAGAGGCAACAATGGTAATAGTGAACAATGCTATGACAAACTTCTGAACTGCGTTACAGCTGTGACCTTGGAGTGTGTGTGATTTTGTGTCACACTATCATTAACTGCTCTTTCATTTAGAGAGGAGTAGTAACACAGAGTTTCTGTCTCTTAAGCCAAAAGATTTCTTCCTAATCTGTGAGGTAGTTGCAGGAGAAAATCCAAATCCATAATCCACTGATTAGGCCTTTTCAGGGTGAACTTCACCATCTTTACAGGTTCATGGTTCATGGATCATTGTTGAGCCCACACATCAAAAACTAATCCTGCTCATGAGGTGAAAGTACTAGGTACCGAACCCCTGACCACATGCTGTATTATTTAAATAGCACTAAATGTTTGAGTGTTGTACTATTTAAATAGCACTCCATGTTTGAGTGAACGGTAAAATATTACACATTACTGTTTACAATTAGATTTAAAACAAATGTGATTATTTAACATGAAGCCTGTTAAAAAAACTTAAATGAAGTGACTATACACGACATAAAATCATTTTTTTCTTTTAAAAAACGGTATAAACAACTCATTGAGTTGGATGAATAGAATGCCCTTAGCACTCACGTCAGCGCTGATGTCGTTGAACTTAGTGATGAAGGCATGCTTGACCACATCTACGGCGACCTCTGACGCGATGACCATCAGCACGTCCGGAAGCAGCACCCACAGGTGGTCTAAAAGAAGACACAACAAGATATCAGTGCCATTCTGTTGCACTGTCTCTGTATGAGTGAGGAAGAGCAGAACCAGCTGAGTCAATGTCTGTGTTCCCAGTAGCAGCACCTACCAGGGTTCCAAGAAAACTGCTCCATGTTCCTCAGACAGACGATGAGCAGCAGGATGTAGTTGGTGAATCTTTCTTTAATGTCTGTGGGACACAAACAGTACAAATATTCAGTGAACCTACTCCACTCCAACAGCAACGGTGCTTCATTTAGTCGATTCACACCGTGTTGAATCTGCACAAAGACATATGCAGGTCACTTTGCATCTGTTTCACTGCATGCAGTGTTTTATTCAAAGGAGAACTCACCGCTATTTGACATCTGGAAGAGATTGTTCTTCTCAAACTTCTTGAACACACTTCCCTTGATCTCCACAAACTGAAAGGAAAAGCATTGATGTGCAGGAGGAACTCATGCTGCTGCTGTTGCTAACGCTGCTGCTGTTGCTAACGCTGCTGC